TTTTACTTCCTTTCCTGGCTACCTGCCGACCATTCAACAACTTTATCAACTTTTTCCGCTTCGCGTTGTGCTTACCGCCGGCTCGTTGAATTTACTGATTGTCCAAATGGTGTCGTTGCTCGCACGAAGCTCCACCAGCTGAGCAGAGAAGTTACAGCTGCGACCGCGCTGCTCAAGTGTCGGCATAGTGAGGCCGGTCAGGCAGGCAAGCAAGCAGTTAGTTGTGTGTTTGGTTGTAGAAGACGGAGGCTAACGAACAATTCCACGGCGTTGCATTGTATATGAAGTAAGTATGTATGTATGTATGTATCTAGTTGTGTGCGCTGACTAGTTCGTTTGGCGCACGAAGGGATGTTCTGTCAGCAAAGCACAGTGCAGTTTTTTATTGTTTGTTTTTTTGTTTATGTATGTATTTTATTTAGCATTTTATTGTTTTTGCTACCGTTGCGCTTGTTCACAGCTGCTTTCGTTCATTTGCATATATATATATATATATACGTATATATGCTCGTACTTATAAACACAATTTTACATTCTCATATATGTATGAATTTGTAGTTTTCTTCTAGAGCACTATCATTACTTGTTGGTTGGTTGGCTCTCTCTTCCGCTCTCACATACATGGCGTCGTTTGTTTTGTATTGTTTTTGTACTCTCTTGCCACATAGTAGTTCGTAAAGCTTATTTCAATATGTTTGTTGTTTCCTATGGTTGCGCTACGCTGCGGTTGCTTCCGTGAGTGCTCAACATTTTTCTATACAAACCATTGTTGTGGTGTTTACAGTAGTTCGCACGTCGTAAAAATGTGGCATAACATAAAAATGTTACTGGATCTATGAAATGTCAAACTATTTAGAAGAATGTATAGACAATTTTCTAGCCGTTGCGAAGGGAGTGGATGTGCTATAAAGAAAAACAGCATTTTGTTCATTCCGTTTTTGAAAAAATATCACATATACATGTATTTGATAAATTGTTGTAAATTTGTTAATATTTCCATTAATATTTTTTCATGTTAGGAAAAAATGTTTTATCAGTTTTTTCAACTTTTCATTAAAAAAAATTACTCATACGCCCCGATCAACAAAGCGATTTGCTCTAAAGTAAAGGTTAGGTTAGGTTACACTGGCCGGCTGATAAGCCTTACATATGTAAACCTGTTGGTATTTTATAGTACCAGATGGAAATCCGTTTTATTGTAATCTAAAGTAGTCATCGGCGCAAATAGCCGAGTTGTTAGCAGAGCTTACGGTCATTCGGAAGGCCAGGATTCTGATCCGACCAACATCCAAAAGTTCTAGCAAATACATTTATTAAAATATTAGATTAATTTTTCCAATTGCGGTCACATCTCAGCAGGAAACGTCAACCCTTCCGAGTGTATTTCTGGCATAAAGTAAAGAAAAACTCCTCATAAAAATCCATCGGGCATTAGGAAGCAGCTCAGGATAAACTTTTTGCTTCTCCGCTACAAGTTGGAGGAGGAGCTCGATCGAAAATCGCTTCAGTGAATACAAGGCACAGATTATATATAAAGAATAGGCGTATAAAACATCAATTTTGAAACCTCCTGGGGCCCTTTGAACTGCGAAGTTCCGACATAACTAAAACAAGTTCTACCTAAGGCCGTGCAGAAACAGAGGAAGTGCTCTAGGGTCTCCGCCATGCCTTCCCTTCCACACTTTCTACAAGTGTGGCTTTAAATGAGAAAAATATTTCACTTTTTAACACAAATCGCGTGTTCCGAGCGATTCACATGCATACCTAGGTTTTGAAAAATATTTATGTTAATATGTATTTTCACACTTAAGTGTTTAGTATTAAGGATAGATAACAGAGAAAATATAAATTAAAAAATTTGATATGTTTATATAAAACGTTTTGTCCTGAATGACAAATGGATCAACCCACAGCTTAAACTATTCATCTTATAGATCTGAAAATTAGAGAGTATCACCTGCGTGTGACTTAGGCATCCGATAAGAAAGTATTTTCTGGGATGTGGTTCTGAGATCGCTCTATTCGAAGATCAAAATTATTTTTTAATATGTCGATTTTCATGAAATTTGGAACAGGGGTAGGAAGCGCTGTGGTCAAAGTCGGTGAGGAAAATCTCTCTGAAACAGCTTAACCGATCGGCCTAAAATTTTCACACAGCCTTTTAAGACACATTTTTTAGGTAATGGTCGAAGTAGTGCAGTTTTTGACAATAATTTCGATTTTTTAAGCCACTTTGAAGTGTAGAGTTTCGTTGAAAAAAATTAATATTTTTTGATTTTTAGTTTTATGGAGCTGTCTCACACCATTTTGTTTTGGAAAATAGTGAAAAAATTACAACAACTAATTTGGACGATAGAAGTTATAACTGCTATTTCGGAAACTACCACGTTTCCTCGTCATATTTCTTTTTCCAGTGAACTTCGTTCGGATTGGATTCGCACTTGGGATGCCCACAGCATGAGCCAATGGTTATCCCATTATTTTTTTGACGCCACCATTTTGTAAATATCTAAATATTCACTATTTCTTCGATCATTATTTGTATTCATCCATTATAATACTAATTTTTTTTTTTTGGTTTTCGGTTATCAGAATATTTGAAGCAGAAATATCTTCCTGTCCGAAAGACACCTTTTTTTTGAGGCTCTTCTGGAGATTGGCTACAGGAATAATAGGATTCAACATTTTTTAAAATGAAAAATTTATTGCTAAACTACACTAAATTCTGTCTATTAACATTTTTTCTACTAAATTGTAGAATAAAATGCCTGTAAAAAAATTAATGATGAAAAGCATTTAATTTGTGTTGCAATTGGATATATATATCCCCTTAATGCACTAAGGCTGCTATGTAATTTAAAGTGGGGAGTGACTGATAACACGATAACATAGTGTACTTGTACAACTATAAAAAGTGCGCCACATTTATATGTCACCTATAGAGTCCTTGTAAAGTCAAAGCTATTATGGCTCTATTTATTTTCGTACTGACTTAACAGTGTCTGTAACAGCAGTTCTTACCCTAACATGTCGGTAGAAAACAAGAACAGTACAGAAGTAAAACAAAAGAATCTGAAAAAGTAGAAAATCTAAGAAAATTCATAGGAGAACAGAACTCAAGTTGTCACTTTCGCTGCTGCTCACTGGTCAGCATCTTCACTAGCTCATCAATGTTTATAAATAGGTGAACATGTACATTTATTGCAACAGCCACTATGTATGTACTAATATACATATATATTTTGTGTTTTCGCACATTTTTTACAACTTTCCTTTGTATTTACGCGGTGACCGAAGTTTCAATGACTTTTCGACGTTTGGCATTTTCTAGTATTCTTCTCATTTAAAACATTTGTTCCTTGGTTTTCTCTTATTTTGGAGAAAGAGCTCGGCAGATGATATAAATAAATAATAAGATGCAAGCAGTGAAGCGATTTGCTTAAATGACTTTGCGTAGAGAATGTAAAATGTGCATCATTTTTAAGGGACTTTTCAAAGTTAAAAATAGATTTTTTTGTATGCAATAAAAAAAACAAATATAGCAGAGTCAGCTAGTTTAAAGATTTTGTTTAAAGAGGGATATCACTAGGCGCTTTAACATCAATATTCAAAGAAGTACTGATAAATAAGAAGAACCTTTGATATCAGCAAATAGGCTGAGGAAAGCGCTCAACCCCTAACAATTAACCCCAACAGGATATACTTGTATTATATATAAACTCTAGTCCGAAGTATGTAAGCATCTGAAGAAAGTTATTTGAGCCTATCACCATCTGAATGGCCAGTTAAGTTGGTTCAGCCATCACTATCTCATTGTTGGCAAACCAGAACCTCAATTTTTGAAATATTTCAACAAAAGATGATACATAGATGCTCTTATATACTTAAACGTTTGGCAAATCCGACCCGAACCGATAGGACCACTATAACTAATATCTAAGTCGAACGAATATATAATATAATCATATAGCTCTCATTTGCCGATTTATTTTAAATGGGAAGCTCTAAAGACTACGTCAAAAAAATCTAAAATTGGATATTGGATATTTGGGCAAAATTCCATCCAACTTGGTTGAAAAATCAGATTAAGAATCTGGCCGGCAGGTAGCCGGACTTACTACACTAAGAAGGCCGGGCGTTTTATTATCCTCTATGCAAGCTCTAAGTTCTGCAGTTTTCAACTAAGACAGCTTGTGGATCACATATTACGGTGAAGATGTCCTGCAATTTATAAAAATTTACTACTTTTTAATAAATATTTTGATTTTTTTAATTTTACTTTTTTGTATATCCTATTAAACGCTTTTTTGTAATTATTTTTTAATAATATTTAATTATCGCAACATTCCTTCCAACAACACTGAGCTTCAGATACGAGTAGCTGATTTTTCAAATATTAATCATACGCCCCGCTCATCACGTTGATAATCAGTTGGAGTGTCAAAGAGAGTATAAATCTATGTCACTCATACGACATGCGTAACTAAGCTAACAACGCTAACAACGCTTTTATTTTGTAAACAATTATGTTTTATTTCTAGTTCGTTGTAGTTTAGTTTTTAATTTGTTTAATTTTTTTTTACCTTTATTTTTAAATTATTTAATTTTATTCTATTTTATTTTATTACTTTCCATTTTATTTTATTTTATTTTATTCTATTTTATTTTATTTTATTTTATTTTATTTTATTTTATTTTATTTTATTTTATTTATTTTATTTTATTTTATTTTATTTTAGTTTATTTTATTTTAGTTAATTTTATTTTATTTGATTTTATTTTATTGTTTTTTTTATTCCTTTATTTCATTTTATTTATAAAATAATTTAATATATTTTTTTTTTAGTTTATTTAACTTTATTTCATTTGATTTGAATTATAATTTTTTTCTTCGTCTGTTGCTTGCTGTCAACAACTGATATTTTGAGTTTAATAAAAACTTTTTTTTTGGTTCACAAGACAGCAAAAAATAAATAAATATATATTTTCAAGCATACGATTTGTTATTTCCTAACTGTTTCTTTGCATTACATTAAATAAATATATAATAATAACAGTCATTGGTAACCCGTTTGTTGGATCAATAATTGTGCCTGTTTTTTGTTAAATGCAGTGAAGGAATTTCAATTCGAAGAATTTTGTGGCGGAATTTCGATTTTAATTCGTAGAAATTTCAAAACATTATGGAAGTTAGCAATCCCACTGATCCATCAGCGGCTGCTGTAAATATACGTCCAAAGAATATTTACGGTTTGCGCACAGATGTTGTTGGTAATATACATTTTAATCTATATCAGGAAGTTATTTATCCCGTGGAGGGCGTTTTGGCATTCCATGACTATGTCAGTAATAAGCAAAGATTCCTCAGGTGGGCTTGGAATGCAACACAGATGTTTTGTGTAGTGGAATTTAATTAATATTTTACATACCTATATACATTGTAACGCAGACTGCCTGAAGGTGTTTATCCTGAATATATAGCGATGAGTGTGCAGCGAAAATTGTTGGCCATAATCGAGACGTTGCCGAAAGTGTAAGTTAACAAAATTATGTATATGAATAGTTTCATCCGTATATATGTATATTACATTCAATTAAAAATTATTTTGGTGTAATTTTAAAAAATTCAAATTCTCTTTGGGGGGAGTGTAGAACAAATACTAAGCAGCCAAGATCTTTAAAAACTCACTTGGCTCAACTCGATAAAAAAAATATCGCTTGGACAAGGTATTACTCCACTTTGAAAAAGTAGCCAGCAAGTAGACGAAAATTTTCAATCTTTACCCAGTCTGTATTGCCATTTTATGGCAAATCCGGAGTTTGGCATCTTCTGCTACAGTGAGACTGCTTTCAACCGTATCTTAACGACTTTAACAACTCTTCTATTCATGTGAAAATGATCGTCTTCCGACTCTGATATCTCTAGAATGGGAGTAGTGAGAAAAGAATGAGGTGAAGGCCATGAGACAGAGAAATATTCTACAAGTGTCCCCTAGAACACCCTTTTTCACGTTAATCACGCGAATAACAGCGCACCAAACGTCTTCCTCTGATCTTGCGCTGTCGTTTTACTTTTCTTTTGCTTCCACCAGCAAGTATTGCATTACAAACTTGCCAAGCTGAAGCATTTTCATCAAATTTGCGACCTTCCACTTACCTCTTTTTACAAATAATGCAAAATTACTTGGATAAAGCTGGTTATGGTATTTGAAAATAACCATTTAGTGGAAACGGATCAGCTTGAACGACATAAGTCTACATGAAATTTATGAGCTTTTGTGTAAGCTGCAATCAGTTGTACCGTATTTTCCTTTCAATCTCTTACTTCCTTCAATTACCATTGACAGTGCATACCCACTTGCTCGAAAATTCTTTCAAATTACCACCATCATTCACATCTTACTTCCTGTTTATATTCACAGTGGCACCTCCATCTCTATATATGACCTATCCACATTGAAGAAACGACGCAGTCTCGCATTGCCCAATGCCACATCCAAGATTGCATATATGGCATTCACTTGTGATGCCAAAACTATTGTTTTACTAACGAAACCACCCGAGGAGACTTTATATATGTTGATGTTGGACAAAACAGGCACGGTAATTGAGGCGAAACCCACTGCTAATCTTGCCAAGGGCACGGTGGAGTGTTTGGCATGTAATCCGCAAGATCATAGTCTACTTAGCGTAGCTGGTGATGGTGCTTTATTGCTTATGACCAAATCGGAAAAGGGTGTCAGTGTGAGCAATAATGTTAAAGTCGATTTTCATATCACTTCACTAGCTTACATTGCGGCCGATTTGATAATGATTGGCACCAGTCAAAATGAATTGATTCTGATTGAGAATGGTGATATCAAGCAAAGGCAAAAGGCATACGATGCTGAACTCATCGATATCATATGGGATCAAGATTTATTGAATAAAGAGCTGGAACATAAGATACCGTCTGAGAAGAAACTTTTCGATCAGCGAGTTTTATGTATGACTGCATTTCCACGCGGTTTCGCATTTGCCATTTTCAATCAAGTTTTCGTTTTCGAACGTGTCTCTAAATTCAAAATGGAACGTAAGACTATATTAACAATACCAATCGGTTTTGCGTCTGAGCACACGTATCAGATAACAAATGTAGCAATCTGTTCACGTCAAGAGACCGTTATTGTGACAACAAAACATGCACAAATCTACGTTGGCATACTGATTGTGCCGGAGACGTTGAAGACCAAGCAATTGCAATTTCAACCGCTTGGCGCTTGGATACATCTATCGGAAATCACCAGCATGTCGGTGTGCGCATGGAAGCCCATAATTATGACGGCTTGTAAGTTGGACATACGTGTATATAGATGGGGGTAGCATGAGAAAATAATATCAAATTGTAATTGCAGCCCACGATCAGACTGTGCGCATTTGGAATTACGAAACCGATAAGGTTGAGTTGGTGCGAAAATTCCAAGTGGATGTGAATATTGTGGAACTCAATTCGAATGGCTTAATGGCCGCCATTGGCTTCTCAGATCAGCTGCGTATCACACAAATATTTATGGATGAACTAAATGTATGTATGTTGGCGTATGGCGGGAAACTGTAAAATAATTTAACACTTTTCATTGATTTCTCAGATCGTCAAGACATACAATTTCCCGCGCTGTAAAGATGTCAAGTATTCGAATTACGGTCACTTCATGGCTGCCGGCTATGACAATATTATAAGCATCACATCTGTTTATAATTTGGAGATTTTGAAACAACTGAAGGTAAGTGAGAAAATTTGTGTGCAAATAAAAGTGATTTATTCAAAATTTTCAGGCGGTAAAGTGAGTTCAATTGCTTGTCTCACTGAACTCTCGCTCCCATTTTTCAAATTTTTTTTTTTTTTTTGTATAATTTGTGAGACTTTTCAAAATATTTATTATTTTCTTCAATTAATTTATTTAATTTGTAAGGAAGTCGTATCAGCTGAGAGGAATAAATTCTTGAGAGCAGCCCAAATGTAAGAAATTCACAATAGCATAATTTTTTAACGAAAGCAACTGATAATTCCGTTTGAAAACTCGGTCGATCTTCACATAAGGCGTCGTGAGACGTAACACTTTTCTCGCATCCTTCATTTTGTTAACGCATTTTCTGTTAAAAAAAGTTCTAATATTTTCTTATGACCACCCTGTAGCCAGTAAACGCAGAAATAAAAATGATATCTATTAACTGTAAGTTTATTTCCGAAAATGAATTTCCAATTGAAATTTAAATTCCGGAAAAATCTTTTTTGTAAAAACTCACATCATTTAACAGCGATTTCTAGAGAAATAAAAATTGTTAGTGCTGTACGAGTAATAGGGAATTTGTTTTCTGAAATTAAACTGCAATTCAAATGGGCTTGTGACTGTTTTTAAAATTACAATCCGAACTTTGTCATTTTAACATGAAATTAATTATGGCCACGCCTGACGACACCTTAAACGTAGCGTATTTTTGATCATTCACAATAATAAAATATGAGACTAATCAGATATTACCTTAAGTCTCCTTTAGAACCCGAAAAAAAGGTTTTTTCAGCAAAAGAATGAAATTATTGCGGTATACGAAATTTTCAGATAATATTGTACTATATTTAAGCTTCAAAATAAAAATGACTGTATAAAAAAAATGGGAATATTCCAATGTTGTGATGACGTTTTCTGAAGCGGCTGCAGCCGGAAACGGTGCCGCTGATGGTTTGGTAATCTTAATGGATGTCACTTCGATGTGAAATACCGAAGAAGTTGGAAAATTAAAAAGTTTTTCGAAGTTTGAAAAACTTCACTTTTAAAAAAGAAAAAATCACTTCAAGTTTTACAGTTTTTCTTTAGTTCAAATAAAAATATAATTCAGTACTGAAGCTGGATCACTTTGAGTTTTGGAAATGGACATACATTCTGTTTGCTATCGAAAAAACGCGCTTTAAAGTTCTGCCGGAGCATTCGAGCCTGCAAGACGCTCGTCCACTAAAATTGCTTTAGCTTCTAAAACATGTCGAATTGTACACTGAGATTTCGAAAACATATTCTTGGACAGTTTTAAAATAGAAATAAGAAAAAATTGCATTTTTTAAGCATCTTAATCAGACTATTGCCTTAAACAACAAGAAAAAAAATTTGAGGATTACGAGAAGATCACATATCCCATTTCGGCATCTATTATAAAAAACTATGTTACTTCCATTGCTTCGGTACACACTGATAAGTTCCTCATGATCGTAACCCATTTGGGGAGGTAAGAAGGACAGTCTCAATGAGCTTAGAGGGGTGGACGAAAACATATGACAAAAAATAATTTATAAATAAAAACTACAAAAACTTGTTTACAGTTCCATCATTTTTCTATGGCATTCTCCTTCCTCGATATAGAGAAATCCAATATATCTCTTTTGGTGAACATAAATACAAATATCTAACTAATTTCTTTCCAGGGACATAATGGCTTGGTACTTTCACTCGCCTGGTCGGCCACCGACAAGTATCTTATATCGGGTGGTGCTGAGGGTGCCATCTATCAGTGGGACGTGGAGACCGGCACACGCGTCCAAGAGATTGTACAAAAGGGTACCGAATATCGTTCGGTCTGCTGTACCTTCAACGAGCCGCTTTCCATTTATGCTGCCACGAATTTCGGTGTACTACGAGAATTTCAAAATTCAGAGATTGTGCGCGAAATTGTCGTACCGTCCAAAGTGCGTACGCCACTCACAGATATGTGCTTGTCACGTTCGGATCTTATAATGTTTGTTGGCAATGAATCTGGTGATTTGTTCAATGTACAATTACCCTTTATGGATGCGGGTGGTGCCTCCTGTACATTATTTCGCTTTTTCACCAGTCAAATTAACAAACTTTTCTTCTCGTATGATGGCACGCTGCTGTTGGCGATCTCGAAGAATGGCACTTTAGCAATATGGGCTATGGATAATATTGAAGGTAAAGTCGCATCAATGGATGCTGATTTGTTGCGCAGCCAAGAGGTACTCATACCGCGCAATATATTATTGGAAAAGAACGAACAAATTGCCAATTTGGAAATACGTTTACGTCAACAGGCAGAAGAATTCCAATACCAGCTTAGTCAGAATGAGATATTTGATGGACAGCAGTTGGCCGAGGTGCATCGTAGTTATTGCCAGGCACTTGAGGAACTCAAGAAGAAAAATAATGAAATCGAACAGCGACACGCCGAAGAGATGAACCAGGTCACTTTCCAAATCAGTGATTTACGCGATGAACACAAGAAACATTTGGATAACTTAGCAGATCAGTACTCCGAGCGCATGTTGATTGAATACCAAAAGTTTAACAACTTACGTGAGAGCATGCTAGCGCTGCGTGAAAATTATGAGAATAAACTAAAGACCTCAGCTGGCATACTGCAGGATACGGTGGAGGGTTTGGAAACAGACTACAAACGTCAATTGGATGAACGTAAGGAACTAATACGAGGTCTTATGAAGGAGATGCAAGACAAGAAAATCGAATTCTTCGAATATTGTCGTAGAGTGGAAGAGGAGAATGATCGCAACATGGTGGAAATGCAATTGCAGTATGAGAACAAACTCAATGCCGAGCAGAACTCAACGCAATTGTGGCGTGGTAAATCCGGCGTTTTAGAGAAACGCTATCAAACTCTGAGCAATGATATTGAGAAATTACTTGAGGAGGTGGAAACCTTAAAAGAGGAACACAGCAAATCGCAAAAGAATATTACACGTCTGACGCGTTCCATCGATGATTTGCTTAAAGATATTTCCGATCGTGACTATGCCATCAACGCGAAGGAGAAACGCATACAGGAATTACTGCACAAGAACCAAGAATTAGACAAATACAAACAGGTGCTATCACACAAGATTGCCGAATTGAAAGCTCAAATTGAGCCACGTGAATTTCAAATCAATGACAAGCGTAAACATATACTCGAAATGGAAAATGAGTTGGAGGGTTTGAATCAAAACAATATACAATTGGAATTACAACTAAAGGAGCTTAAGGATAAGTATCTAAGTAATATGGAAGAGCTGAAGGTGGAACGACACCGCTCGCGTGCGGGTAGAGAATGTATTACGGCTATTTGTAGTGAGATTTATCATGTAGCGGCCTTTGTTGATTCACCAAAACGTCTGCAGGTAAAAGTAAAAGAGTTATTTCAACGTCATGCTAGCGATGATGAGCTAAAACGACACATTTCTTTGGATGCTGAAGTGCGCGATGAATTTCAACGCCAACGTGCGCAAATTGAACGCATTTTGAACATGCATAAGGATCGCAAGCCAAGTCAGGACGAGGAAAAGAAGTACCAGAAACTTTTCAAAGAAAACGTGATTCTTCTCAGTGAAGTGGACAAACTGCGCGAGGAGAATACACACTTGCGTAATCGCGTTAAAAAGGATATGGCTAGACAAAAGTTTTCTGGGAAAAAGACTTCTTAAATGCTACTTTAGTTTTTTTGGTTGTTTGTTGTTTGAGCGATTCGTTCTAAAAATTTTGAAAATTGCCTGTGCACGACCTTTATATAAATTTAAATAAACTTTAGAATCTAATGTGCTTTATATTTTATATATCTCATAATCATTTTGTCTTGGCTTCTAATAGCAGCTGTCAGTTTTAAAAGCAAATCATATGGATTACGTAATCTGACAGCTTCAGTGATTTCGCCGCTTTTATTCCAATATCTCCCCCTAACGTTAAGTGTAAAAAGTTAGTGAAATCTGTTATTCCATGGCTTTTAAGCACACAGAGTACTTGCTGCCGAAACCGCGAATTTTTAGGTTTAGGCTTTAGGGGAAAGATACTATTGTGAACTACTCTATGAAAAGAGGAAGAATCCATAAAACAGCTGATATCTGTTGCTGTTTTTATTTTGTCAAATCGCCTTGTAGTTAGAAAAAATTGTAAAATCACTCTGCTAAACAGATTTCGCAAATAATTTCAATCGCTATATAACTATGTTACCGGGTGTTGGTATATTTGGCACTGGTGCTATAACAAAGGTATTAGTGCCGTTACTTCGCGAAAAAGGATTTGATATCAAAGCCATTTGGGGTCCTTTAAAAGAAGCAGAGTCAGTAGCTCAAACGCAAAAAATTGCATTTTTCACAAACAAAATCGATGATGTGCTTCTACGTAAAGATGTCGATCTGGTGTTTATAGTCTGTCAACCATTTCAACATGCCGAGATATCAAAGAAAGCGCTCGGCATTGGAAAACATGTTGTATGTGACCGTCCGATGGGACTACATCAAGCAGATGCATTGAAAATGGTGCATGCATCACAGTACTATCCACGTTTGATTACCTTAGTTAATTATTCACTTCGATTTCTCCCCGCATTTACACACATGAAACGTTGTCTGCAGGAAGGTCTTATTGGACCTGGCAATGAAATCTCACTGATCGATATACGGGTGCAATTAGGTACACTTTTTCCAGAGAAATTCGATTGGATGTGTGACGCAGCCATGGGCGGTGGCGCATTGAATTTGGTGGGTAGCCACGTTATCGATTTGGTCAGTTACCTCTTGCAACAACATGCAGTGCGTGTACACGGTGTTGTACGCTCATATACAAAGACAACGCCGGCAGTCAATGGTATACGACAAATATCAGCACCTGATTTTTGTACATTCCAGATGGAATTAGCAGGTGGCGGTGCGCTAGTAACCGTTTCTCTACACAGTCACACGGTGCCGGCCAAATCTTTTTCACAAGAGGTCTTAATTTGTGGCAGCAAAGGTCATTTGGTCGTACGTGGTGGCGATCTATTTGTATTTAAAAAAGATGCGGAACCACCACAGCTGAAGGAAGAAGCTATTTATGTTGATGTTCAAGATTTACATTTTGCAACTTCGGAATCTTTGCTCCCGCGGCCTTACATAAAGGGTTTGTGCAAAATGGTTGGTGCATTGAAAGAAGCGTTCGCTGATAAAGATGCTTCTTGGGTAAAGGAACCCGTCCAAGCTGCAGCAACGTTCGAAGATGGTCTATATGTGCAAGCTGTGCTGGACGCCATACGTAAATCCAGCGAAACGAAATCTTGGCAGCGTGTTAGAATCACCCCAGAAACTCCCTCGAATCATGAGCAGATTATGACGTTTGCACGCATGTCAACTATGTAAATTATTACGGTGCTAAGGCATATAGATACTAATTTATTCAATGTTTTTTTTATCGTAGTGACAATTATTTATTCGCTTCCCTCGGTAAACAGTTAACTTTATTGCACTTGGGCTGAGATTATCTTAGATTTGTTTATTTATTTCTACTCATATATATCTATGTTTGTGCAACATATGTCCGAATATGTAGTGAAACGTGTTTTTTTAATGTTTTTTTAATGTATTTACATTTATGTACTAAGAATTCTTTTCTACCTTTAAAAAGTGTAACACTCAACATATTATTCGTTTACCGCATTATAAATTTATTTATAAAATTTTTATGCATAATTAAACTAAGTGACTTAGTATTTAGTTTGAAGAATAAAGCAAAACAAAAACAACTACACAGACTTTTTATCAAAAGTGTATCTTGAAGACTTAAATATAGGTACAAAGTTATGTACATATTTACAAGTTAGCATCTACGCTTCCACGAGCACTTTCTTATGTTGTTCAGATTGTACTTTTTGCTTCTTTTTGGGAGCGTCCTCCACCACAGATTCAGTGTCTTCCTTTGCTCCAGTTGTCTCCGGTTCGGGTAAATCTTCTGACGGCACTTCAGGTAATATACTAATGTCTTCTTCAGCAGCTAGTGCATCTAACTCAGCCAAAACATTTTCCTCATCTTCAACGCTTAGTGCACCTGAAAGTATGGCATCGATTTCTTGTTGTTTTTCTACACCTTCCCTAGTTTCATCCATAATCTTCTCTATCTCATTAATATCCATCAGATCGTGCACTTTTTTAAGTGCGTCATTGCCCTGCTTTAAGCCTTCAATAACTTGTAATTCTACTTGAGCGAATTCCAAATCTGCTGTCATTTTCTCTAAATTCTCCAACTGTTTATCCGCATTTAATAATTGTGTTTCCTGGAATTTCTTTTTCCTGAGCAGCAACTTTGCACGTCTGAAAATTAAAGATTGTAACAATCTTTGGATATTAAGAAAAACGCTTTTGCACTTACTCTCTTCGTCCTGTCTGCAGGCATTTTTTAGCCAATTCCCGGTCTTTTTCAAGTTGTAGCTCGATGCGTTTTTGATATTGCTTTAGCTTATCTCGCTGTTGCTTTAATCTCTAAATTTTGGGCAAACAAAGAACTTGTAATAGCTGTGCGATAATAGAATTTTACTAATTTTTCTTGGTTTATGACTCACCAGCACAGCTTTATCGTGGTCTGTCACTCGACTTTGCTTTTTACTTTTGGAAAAGAGGGAACCCATTTGGAAATAGTGTAACGTTTGATAATTTATTTATTAATTCTATGCAAATGTTCTATTAGAAATTGCAAAACAAATAAAGCTGCTTCTTCTTAGATCTAATAATTCACAATATGATTACAATAAGCTGCCAGATGGTCAGTATCCATTCTAACACAAAAAGGAAAAAGTTGTAGGAGATATATTCCTAATATATTTTGTCGGCAAAAGCCAATTCAAATTTTTATTTTCATGATTTTAATGTATTTTCAGAAAATTTGAGACATGAAGAGCTTAACTCTCTAATAAATGGTAATTAATTAAATGTAAAAATTTCAAACAAGATGGCTATTCACAATGAACGTTATCTGTGCAGACTCCCACTAAGAAATTTTTGCCCAACATTGTATAATTGTATTCATTTTGCTCACAAGGTTCCTATGTTCTGTTATCAGTAACAAATTAAACAATTTGTGAAAAAGCGCGAAGGAAAAAGCATGAAACCAATTATATTTGCTATAAATATAGAAAAAAGTTGACAAAAAAAAAAAATAATAATAATAGTTATGAAGTATGCAAACATTGAGTTGCAGGTGAACTTTGTTTTGATGCAAGATTCTAAATAGTTAGTTTAATTTCTATTATTACGTGATGTTGGCCAAGTGTTCACGCGTTTACGCAAACCAATTACAACAAGGTGCATTTAGATGTTTCAACAAAATGGTAAACTATAATTGAGTAAAGCTAGTTTGTTACTTTGTCAAGATAATGTTACCAAATTTTCACAGGCGTCATCGCAGGTCAAAGTACAAATACGACAAGGCGTTGTTATTGGCCGAGAAGATCTTCTGCCTAATGGTGAAACATATCACAGCTTTCAAGGAGTGCCTTATGCTGTGCCGCCAATCGGTGACTTACGATTTAGAGTAATATAAATAATTAATAATTGATGTAATGAAATAAATACAAATTAATAATATATAAATATTCCTTTTTATTTTCCAGTCGCCTATACCATTGGAATCTTTCGATAAGCCTGCCTTAGACTGCACTCGTGAAAGGGACCCATGCCATCAGCGCGAACCTTTAACCAACAAAATATTGGGTTCCGAGGATTGTCTTCACCTTAATGTATTTGCACCAGCGAAACCCACGACAGCAGGCCCATTGCCAGTTATGGTTTGGATACATGGCGGAGGATTTTTATTTGGTTCCAGCCAAAAGTTAGTAAAAGAAATTACTTTAAAATTTGCCACAGCTGATATGAAATTTCAATTTTACAGCACGTTGCCTTTGAGTTTAATATCTGAGGATGTTATAGTTGTGACTTTGAATTATCGCCTTGGTGCTTGGGGATTTTTATGTCTGCCCGAGGAAGGCATTTGGGGTAATGCAGGTCTAAAAGATCAGGTAAATTCTTTTTAATTAAAATCCGAAATTTTCCGATTTATTTATTTTTCAAATTTATTATACCCAGCGCTTGGCATTGCAGTGGGTTCACGATAACATCGCCCAATTTAATGGCGATCCTAATAATATTACGCTTTTTGGCGAAAGCGCTGGCGCCGCAAGCGTTCATTTACATACCATGGCCTCACATTCACATAAACTCTTCCATAAGGCTATTATGCAAAGTGGCACTGCTAATATGGAGTGGGTTTTCCAACAGAATCCAGAGAACAAAGTGCGACGTTTGTGTGAATTGCTGGGTTGTCAGTCGCGAAACACACGAGATATGCTACACTTTCTGCAATCACATGATAAGGTGAAACCAGAAGAAGTTCTTGCCTGCAATTTACCCGTATTAACAGCAGACGAACGCCGCCGTGGTCTACCACTTGCCTTTGGTCCTGTCATCGAGGACGTCAGTAGTACAGATAAGTTTCTAAGCAAACCAGTTTCAGAACTTATAAAACAAAATAACACTGCAATCATGCCAACAATAATTGGTTACAACTCAGCTGAAGGCATGGTAATGATGGTGAATGCTGTGCGTAAATTGGAAGAGATAAATAAGGATTTGGCTCGTTTCGTGCCGCGTAACATACCTCTGCCTACAGACCATACTGAATTAAAATATTTAGCAGAAAAAATGCGTGAGTTTTACTTTAACGGTCAACAAATCACATATGATCAATTAGATGCCATGACCAATTTATTGTCTGATTATCACTTCGTGGTGGACTTGCAACAGGCTGCGAAGCTACAGGTGCAATACAAACCAAACTCGCCACTCTATTGCTATCGATTTGATTATACCGGTGGTAGGGATTTATTGAAACGTCTCTTTCATATGGAAAGTTTGCCAGGTGCATGTCATGCAGACGAATTGAACTATCTCTTCCAAACCCCACGTATCGATTCAAGAAAGTTTGCAGAGAAGGATAAACTTATTATCAAACGACTTAGTGCATTGTGGACAAATTTTGCTCGTTATGGTAATCCTACACCAGCCGAAAGCGATTTCACTAGAGATTTGGGCTGTGTTTGGACGCCTACAAATGGTGCAGCTAAGGAAGAAAACATCAGCTTGGATTGTTTTATTATTGATGAAGAATGTAGAATGTTGCGGAATCCGGATGCGGAGCGCATAGAATTCTGGAAGGAAATATATCAACGATATCCCCCCTTGGATTATTCACGAACTAGTGCAAAGTTATGATGTGGAGAATTATTTTAGTATGCTAAAGTTATTTATGGGAATTCAAGTACAGCTCAATACTCAAGTGCACGATATTACTATTTTATGTGCTAGTGCTTGTTTAACACAAAAAAATACTCACTATGCATAAATAGTTACTGCCTTAGTTAATAATATTTGTACATATGTATGTATACATATATGTTAATAGGGAATTTTATAAATAAAATTCAATAAAATTAAAAGAAGTGGAAAAATGTATGCATTTATTATTAACAGTTGTTATATATGTACATACATACATACACACCTGCGTGAAACTATGTTTTTTGGCCATGTGAAAAACACTAACCATCTTTTTATTGCTTTCTAATGGATTTGATAAAACAAAAAAAAAAAAAAAAATTTGTGTAGAAAAAGTCACTTTTAAGAATTTTCCGACTTTTCCTAAGGTATAATGTTTTTTTTTATTTCTAACCCTTTCAAGATCCACAGCAAATAGCATCTGAAAATTTCATTAAAATTGGTCCAGCCGTTCTCGAGCCTTCGCGTCACCAACAAACAAACCTTCACTTTTATTTACATACATATGTATAAGCATTTTAAGATTCTTAGATAAGAAAATAAGAAATATTTTAGCCAAAGACTGCATCAATTCGATTTTTGCCTATTAATCAAAAGTTCTCAATAACGGTGAAGGTTGGCATTCCGTTTTCAATCGTTTTGAATTCAACGCTTATACAATACAACTTTTGGAATACAATCAGACAGCATACATGCACACACACACACACACATATGCGTGCACATATGATTGTCTGATATATTTATGAGAAATTCTGTCTGACATTTAAACACATTAAATGAAATCGAATGAGTTTTTGACGAAAATAAAAAAAAGATTATATGCATCCCCGTTAATCTGAATACCATGTGTATAAATATATGAAAATCACAAAAGCCTAAAATCAGTTAAGCGTGCAACGCAATCAAAGTAACATTACTTCGTAAAATTGTTTCAAATTTCTACCAAAGCTCAGGTTTTAAAATGTTTGCTAATATTAAAAAAAACATCAACAATTTTCACATTACAATATTTTACGATACTACAATAAGAGTGTAAAACGAAAAAAGTTTAAATTAATTTATTCTTTTGCATACTCATACATATGTACATGCATATATACATGCATTTGTTCATATAAAATAATAAAAAAAAAGTTATAAATAATAGAACAATATTATATGAGCACTACTATTATAGTGCTCGCAACTGTATGTATACATATGTACGTATGTATGCAGGTATGCTTGAATAAATTTTATATTAATCGATAGAAAAAAAAAAATAAATTGCAAATCCGTCAAAGTGTAATCGCCGCCCATCAGAAGCGATTACCGAATGGACAAACCTATAATTGTATTCAAGGAATACCCTATGCTGTGGCGTCACTAGGAAAATTGCGTTTTCCGGTGAGTTTTACACAGTACAGAAATTTTAAATAAATATTTTAATAAGAAAAGTAAATAGATGTATTAAAAATTAATTCAAGGTGTACAACTTCGCTTCCGCCGTTTTTTTTTTTCCAAAATTAAAAGCTTTATTGTGAAAAAGTGCTTACAGATATATTATTCAAAGTATTGTCCTTCTCTAGCGACAACTTTCTCCCATCTTTCCGGCAATTTTCGGATCCCGGCTCGAAAAAAGGAGTCCTCTTTTGACGCTATCCATGAAGCAATCCATTTTTCCAATTCTTCGAAGGATTGAAAATGTTGATCTGCCAGGCCGTGTGCCATCGAACGGAATAGGTGGAAGTCAGAAGGGGCGACATCTGGGGAATACGGCGGGTGGGGCAAGACTTCCCATTTCAGCGTTTCCAGGTACTTTTTGACCACTTTTGCGACGTGAGGCCGAGCATTGTCGTGTTGGAGGATGACTTTGTCATGTCGCTCTTGATATTGTGGCCGCTTTTCTTTTAGCGCGCGACTAAGGCGCATCAGTTGCGTTCGGTAGCGATCTCCTGTGATGGTTTCACCCGGTTTTAAGAGCTCGTAGTAAATCACACCGAGCTGATCCCACCAAATACAAATCATAACCTTGTTTGTCTTCGACATCGAAATCACCATTTTTAAAACGTTGAAACCACTCCCGACACGTTCTTTCACTCAGAGCAGCATCACCGTAAGTTTCTGAGAGCATTCGATGCGCTTCAGCTGCATTTTTTTTTTGAATTGTAACAGAAAAGTAAAACTTCCCGCAAATGGCGAGAATTAGGCACATAAACGGACATTTTCGAGCGTGAATAACACGAAAACAAGAACAACTGTCACTGAAACGGCGATAACAATTCCTTAGGCAGTGTCCACACTCTCTTTAAAGGCATTATCATCTATCTATTTCAATTAGCCTCAGCCGGTACAGCCACCTATCGGAAAACGGCGGAAGCAAAGTTGTACACCGATAGCTTTTTTTAACTCTTTAAATAAATTTAAAAAATTTTGTTTACATTAACCTAAAGTTAAAGAAAAAGTGTTACTTTTTTGATACAGTCTAATGTACATATGTGTATGTATATCCACAACAAAGAAAAACAAAAAACAAACAGATGAGTTGAAGTACTCTCATGAATTTTATAAAAAAATGTATTTCCGTCTGAACCCCTTTTACTTTTACAAACATACATACACATGTACATACATTTATAATAATATAAATCTTATTTTGTTAATTAATGCAGTCAGTAATTCCAGTCTGCTGTAAAACCAGAAATTTTATAAAAAAAAATATTTATATATATTGGTCCAGTAAAGAGTTCGTTCGGTTTTTTTATTGATTTTTCAAAATATCATATTTTTGTGTACATTTGTCCGATTTAAATCAAATATGCGCCGTTTTGTTCGTTATATATACCCCTCTCGTAGAAGGCTGCGTCCCTTTTGGCAAAAAACTCGGAGAGCAAATTTTCACAGGCCGCTCTTGAATCCTACTTCTCACCATTAAGCGCGTTCGCCATGAACACGAAAAGATGGTAATCACTTGGTGCCAAGTCTGGGTGGGTCCCAACTGAGCTTCTGGAGCTTCTGGCGCGTCACCAAAGACGTGTGTGAACTGGCGTTGTCCTGTTGGAACACAATTCGGCCTCTGTTGATCAAAGATAACCTCTCCTGGATGACTGCAGCCTTTAAGCGGTCCATTTGTTGGCAGTAGAGGGCCTAATTGAGCGTTTGGCCATAGGGAAGCAGCTCGTAGTAGATGATTCTTTGCCAATCCCACCAAATACACAGCAAAGCCACCCTGGCCATCAATCCGGTCTTGGCCACCGTCTGGGCCGCTTCCCTGAGCTTTGACCACGACCGTTTGCGCTCGAAGTTGTCGTAAGTGACCCATTTTTCTGTCAGTCACAATCCGCTTCAGAAACGGGTCGATTTTGTTGCGATTCGCAGATGGAATTTCGATCCATCATTTTTTTTTTGCGTTAATTCGTGTGGCATCCAAACATCGAGCTTCTTTTTGAATCCAAGGTTATGCAAATAGTTCGGTTTTCTGGCTTATATTTAGTTCCTCAGCATTTAAATGAGGGCTCACGGTCTGTTTTCACTATTCCCATGATTTTATCGCAATTTTCGATGATAGGCCTCCCGACGCGTGGTGCATCTTTGACATCGAAATTACCGGAACGAAACCTAGCAAACCACTTTTGGGCTACACGTTCGTTTACAGCATTACAGTTTATTAATAAATTAGGCTGTCCGACTAGTGGAATGAAAATTAAGCATATTTTCAATGCCCGGACAGTGTGTGCGGTATTATTCTCGTTAGCTTCCACTAACCCCGCTTAAAGGCAGGCAACATCTGTCTAAATCATCAAAGTCATCTAACGGGAGGTCCATGAAATCAGCTGTTCCGAGGGGCTCGGACCAGAAGGAAAGGTAGATTAGATGAGTTTGTTTTAGGGGGCATGCAAAGAGATGGTTTGTGTGAGCGAGAAGTCATTACAGGGAAGATATTGCTTTTAAATTATCATTTCGTGAAGTTCTGGCGCGAACTTTACCGAAATTAAACGTCACTATATTAATCAAGCTCTAGCGCAAAGTTCAATATGTTCGCATTTACCTATATGTAATATGTATGTGAAGGGTTTCCCAATAGGAGGTGTTATTTTGAATAGTCTGCTATTCCGGTAGCATTTTGCATAAAGACTTGCGTCTTAAGGCTTAACATAAACTGAACTGTAAATCAGTTAAAACAAGACCTTAAGCCGGCTGATCATCAACGACGTCGTGTTTTTGTTGATTGGGGCCTTGAAACGCAAGAAAATGAACCGAAAAATCATCTCGACTGATGAGGTCCGTTGCTATCTCGATGTATACCACTTACGGTGAATGGATTGCGCGGTCGGAATTGCATGTTATCGATCTGGCCAACGTTTACTTTGAAGCTTTTAAGGGAAGAATTTCTTTGAATATCAAACTAACACCTCTTATTGGCAAACCCTATATGGAGAACTTTACGATAAATAAATTTACACTTTTCATAAATATAGCCTTAAATAAACATATTTCCATGTAAATAGAATAAATATGTACATACAAAAATGCATATATCGAAATGGTATGAAATCTTATAACAAGTGAGCGTAAGATTTTTTTGCTGCATTAAAAACAATTTCAAAATTTATATTCAGAAAGTGAAAACACTCCAGTTATGAAAATATTTATTACATAATCTGGGGCTATTAAGAGTTGAGATAAGAGAATTGACATTTTTTTTTTTTAATTTATTTTATTCATTATTCAGTAAGAAGTATGCGAGAAAAGGAAAAGAAACGTTTCTATAAGCAGAGGAGGGTCTAAATTACATTACATACTAGCTCTGGTCGGTACGAAAGAGAGAGATGTTTTACTTTCCCAAAGAGAGGAATTTTCTGAGTTTTCAGCGAAAGGGATTTCGTTAAAAAGAGCCAGCAAATAATATAAAAAGTGTTTATTTTGTCCGTTACATTTTTAATTCGTTCACTTATACAATTTATTGCTTTATGTATTTAAGTAATTTTACGGTATTTTTAAGATATTTATTGTAATGCAAAAAATGTCCAAAATGCTCCCACATTTAGTAATAGGCTTTTTACCTCACTAAACGGGGTTCAATTGAATTGAGTAACAATTGTTACTGCTTATCAGACCAACGAACAGAACTATAACTTAATCTAATCTCCAATGTTTTCATATGTCATTATATATTTTATACATATTTTTCCACTTTTACATAAATAATTGGTGCTTTGCAACCGCTGAAGCGATTTTTCGGCCGAGCTCCTCCTCCAATTTGTGGTTTTGCGTCTTGATGTTTTTCCAACAAATGGAGGGATCTACAGTTCATATTTACTAAGCCGCCTCCGAACGGCTGATGGTTTTTATAGGAGCTTGGCGCGCTGTAACCACTGGAGCGATTTTCGGTCGATTTGTTTAATTAGAAAAGCATAAAATAAGTAGAATAATTTCAGTTAAAAATTTTGTTTGTAATTTCACAAATATTAAGAAAATACTCAATTCTGTTTTTTAGCACTAAAAAAAATACTTTTTTTCAAGGCTTTTTAGCTGTAAAATTGTATTGAGCGGGTAGCATCAAAAACTGTTTTTATGACAGAGGCTGCCTCTCTTAAAATGTTCCAGTCGCCAGCCGTAGCAGGATATTTTTCACAAAAATGAAACAAACTGTCGTCTCATGTTGTGGCTCAAGTGTAAAGAGCTTAAATTAGAGAAGTCACCAATTATTATTTTTTACTGAATGAGTATTAAAGGCATGTATATATATACCTTTGAATTTGAGTATATATGTTTGTAATATAATACACGTTATCTCAATTTTTCTTCAACATATTTCATACATATTTATTGCAATTTAATTTTATTTATTTTTTTATTTTTGCTCTAAGTTTTAGTTCAATAAAATCCAAAAGTGCATAACCGTTAAATCAGTAGAACGTGAAGTGCAATCGAAGTTAGAAGAATAGAAGACTGTCTCCCATTATAATAAAGAAATTATAGTTCACTATGTTGCTAAGGATTTTTTCCGAAACTTATAGATTTTCACGCAACATAGCTTTTCGATATTATAGTGGGAATGTAAGTGAAATAATTCCTTTATTTAAGGCATATCTTTAATTTGAAATACTATTTTCATTTGGTGAAGCCGATAAAAACTGTCAAAGTGCAAGTGCGTCAAGGTGTCGTAGTGGGCCGGGAGGAACGACTACCCAATGGAGNGGTATTTTATAAAAAAAAAAGATAATTAATCGTCGTCTCATATTGTGGCTCAAGTGCAAAGAGCTTAAGTTAGAGAAGTCAAAAATTATTATTTTTACTGAATGAGTGTTAAAGGCATGTATATATATACTTATGAATTTGAGTATATATGTTTGTAATATAATAAACGTTATCTCAATTTTTTCCTCAACATATTTCATACATATTTATTGCAATTTAATTTTATTAATTTTTTATTTTTGCTCTAAGTTTTAGTTCAATAAAATCCAAAAGTGCATAACCGTTAAATCAGTAGAACGTGTAGTGCAATCGAAGTTAGAAGAATAGAAGTGCATAACCGTTAAATCAGTAGAACGTGAAGTGCAATCGAAGTTAGAATAAGAGAAGACTGTCTCCCATTATAATCAAGAAGTTATAATTCACTATGTTGCTAAGGATTTTTTCCGAAACTTATAGATTTTCACGCAACATAGCTTTTCGATATTATAGTGCGAATGTAAGTGAAATGATTCCTTTATTTAAGGCATATGTTTGATTTGAAATACTATTTTCATTTGGTGAAGCCGATAAAAACTGTCAAAGTGCAAGTGCGTCAAGGTGTCGTAGTGGGCCGGGAGGAACGACTACCCAATGGAGAACCCTACAATGCTTTTCAAGGAGTACGCTATGCAGTGCCGCCACTGGGAAAATTACGATTTCAGGTGTGTTTTAAGTTGTGTGAATAATAAATAATAATATCAAATAGAGAAAAGAAGAAAATTAAATCGTTCATATATAAATTTATGTCATGAGAAACGGAAAAATTATGTTATAAATTTAACAAAAAAAAGGAAAACAGTCTTTTTTTTTGGTGCATTTTTTAACTAATTTGACTTAATTGCAAATAAATTTTATTCATGGCCTACTGCAAATTTTCCTGAAGTTATTTTAATCATGTAGAACTCCTGTGGATTATCGGTGAAACAGACCAAAGAAAATGGTAGTTAGATGGTGTAAGGTCCGGACTCTTTCCCACTAAACTCAAAAAAATTTTCAGCCAGTCATACATCCTTGATGGCATTGTCAAGGTGAAACATAAAACCTTTGCTATTGATAAATTCTAGCCGCTTTCTTTGAAGAGTTTGTCAGGTGAGCTCAGTATTGACCGTTTAGCTAGATGGTAGCAGCTCGTAATTGAAAGGTTCCCTTCCAATCCACCATAGTCCCAGCATCACCTAGTTCGCCATCAAATTATGCTTTGGACTCACTTGCGACCTTTGACCACGTTTTTTCTCGTTTTTTTTTTACACATATTTCATCGCTCGTGATGAGTCTGTATGTAAACCCTTGCTTACGTTATTAATGACCTCGTAATCACGTAAACATTTCAATATTCAATAATTGTCATTCGAAATGGCATCCATAAAATAAAGAATATAAGCAAAAGGAATATTCGTAATAGCTCTATTAGAATAAAAATTGAAAAAGAAATTTACTTATTAACATATTACTTACTTATTCGGCGTAGATACAGCTAAGGCGTTTCTTATTTTCGTTTTTTGGTGCCAATGGCATGCATCAAGTGAAACCAGGCCCTCTTCTACCTTATCTTTCCAACGGATTGAAGATCCTTCCCTTCCTCTGCTCTAATAACGGAAAATGTGTTGACAACTTTCTGAGTCGAAGACGAACGCCATGACACTGCTGTCCATAAATAAAGCAATAGTAATATAATAAACCGATTGCCTCCTCTAAAATATTACTTAGATATACAATAATTTTAAGGTTCAAATAAGATACCAATAATTTTTATAATTTTTTTTCATAGCTTTGCCTTCACTTCTAAATTACTAATTAGAAAATTAGTAATTGTAATATAATATAAAAAGATACAAAGTGTAATAAGGATTGAGATATGGTTTAGCTTAAAATTTCTATCCCTGCTTAAGCAATCAAATCTTTTAAATTTTATATTATCAGTAAAGTATCGTTTTCTGCCTCACCCGATATTTATTTTTAGACTCAAGTTATCATTTCATTAATAGTTGAAAAAAATTTAAGTTGTCTACCGCCCTCCCCCTAAGTAAGCATGCATAAAGATTCAGTTTAAGACTATTGAAAATTACTTTTTCTAATTACGTTCGCCCTACTCGGCGTGGCGTAAAACAAACTGCGGGTCCCTCCATTCGTCAAATTAGGTTACAAAAAATTTTAAATTTTCTTGAATGGTTGGAGCTTATTAAAACAGGGTGTTCATGGTCTGTTTTTGATGGAAATTAATTTAGTAAATTAATTTTATACTTTGATTCAATTTAATTTTTTTTCTCAGCCACCTCAGCCATTGGAGCGCTTCGAAACGCCAGAGTTGGATTGTACGCGAGTAAGAGAGCCATCAGCTCAGCGTGATCGTACGACAAACAAGTTTATTGGGTCGGAGGATTGCCTATATATCAATATTTATGTACCTGTCAAGTCTTCATTGCAGCCACTTCCAGTTATTGTTTGGGCACACGGTGGCGCCTTCACGTTTGGTCATGGACAAAGGTAAGATATGTCTATTTAATAATTTGAGTTGGAAAACATATTATTTCTCTTTGTAAGCTTTCTGCCGCTCAGCTTAATGATGGAGGATGTAATTGTGGTATCTATAAATTATCGACTCGGCGTATTGGGATTTGGTTGTTTGCCAGAGATTGGCTTTTGGGGTAATGCTGGAGCCAAAGATCAGGTGCGCACATTTTCGGGCATTTGCAAGACTTGATAAAAAAAATAATTAACTTTCTCTAACCTTTTCAGCTACAAGCTTTGCGTTGGGTGCAAGAAAATATTGCGTGCTTTAACGGTGATCCAGGCAACGTCACATTGATGGGAGAAAGCGCTGGTGGTGTTTGTGTAAACTTACATACTTTGGGTTGCAATGCAAATAAACTTTTCCACAAGGCAATCATGCTGAGTGGTATGGTAAATATTGAATGGGCATTTCAAAGAACACCACAAGAAAAAATGTATCGCTTGTGCGAAATGCTTGGTTGTCCATCAAAGGATCCAAAAAAAATTCTGGAATTTTTACAAACATCGGAAAAAGCAGCTGCTGATAAGATTTTGAGCAAAACGAACTCTCTAATTTTACCAGATGAACGGCGACGTTCATCGCCGGTTCCAGTGTCACTTGTGCTGGAAGATCCAAACAGTCCCGATCCAATTATAAGCACGCCAGTCCTAGATCTCATGCGCACAGAAAACACACTCAACGTACCAACAATCATCGGCCATAATTCAGCCGAAGGCATTATGGTAATTGAGCACTGGTTCAAAAAACTCGATGAGGTCGATCAGGATCTTGAGCGTTTTCTTCCACGCAATATACCATTACCTAAAGACCATCCGCACATGAAAGTCTTGGCAGAAAAAATACGAAAATTCTATTTTGGCGGTGGCAAAGTCACTTTTGAGACACTTCAAGGTTTATCGAATCTTTTGTCGGATTACATTTGTGCCACTGACATAAAATTAGCAGTGGAAATGCTTGCTACTTATCAACCACAGGCTCCAATCTACGCTTTTAATTTCAATTACAACGGTGCACGAGATTATTTTAAGCGAATTAAAAAATCTGAACATTTGGAAGGTGCATGCCACACCGACGAGCTCTTTTATCTCTTTCAATCATTCACTGATGATCTGAGCACATTTAACGAGCACGACCTACAAATAACAAAACGAATGAGTGCGATGTGGGCAAACTTTGCGCGCCATAGTGACCCAACGCCAATGGACAGTGATATTACGAAGGAGCTCGGCTTCAGATGGACGCCTGTGGGAAAACCTGCAGTGGGAAGTGATTTGGGACAGGATTATTTAATAATTGATCGACACATGCGCATGCAAGATGAACCAGCAAAAGAACGTGGTGATTTCTGGCGAGAGATATATCGCAGTTATCCACCCTTGGATTATTCGGTTATCAATTAGAAGTTTATTAGTGAAAACATTATAACGTTATTAAGTTTAGAATAAAAATAAATCTCATTCCGAAAGAGTCTGCGACTAACAGTTTATTTATTTTCCTTAACTACTAGACGCATTTTAGCCGAGTCTACAATGGCATGTCAGCAGTTTCTGTTGTCTTTTTTCGTTTCGAAATCAAGTGGAGCCAGGTCCTTCACCATGGAGGATCCAAAAACTTTCAAAGCCAGATTTTCGTCACCTATCTCATTGTGCCATCATCTAATAGTCGCTAGCACGCAGAGCCCGTAAATTGTTTGAAAAACTGTATTCCAAAATATTCCTTGTACTTACGGATCGCATGTGGGGTTTTTTTTTGCAATTGCTTACCCAATCCAAGCATACATTGGTAAAAGTCATTCTGCGTTGGATTTCAAGGGTGAGCTTAGTTGGTACTGGTTCTTAGATAGATAACTTCGCTTGTTACTTAAAAGTTATGACTGTTGACACTGACGTGAGAGGAAAAATGTGAATACGTATTTCCTGTTCTCCCTATTCTCATTCTGTCTGCAACAGCGTTTTGTTTCCATTTTCTTCTCCAAATATTTTTATGTACAGTACTGAGTGAGATCGATTGTAACGTTGCAATATAGATAGTTCACTATCTTTCGCCTGTAGTTTGGTTCTCAATATGGCTGCTGTTCTCTCCATGTTGTTAAGATGTTCTTTGCCTACTGTGCATCCTAAAGGATCAAACGAGCTAGTTTTTCTACATGCTTTCCAAGCTCTCATAGATGGTGCCTTTGGTCAACGGAGAACATCGCTTTGATGGGTAGGATTTCTACCGCTCTACTGCTCTATTGCTCACTGACAACCTACCAGCAGAACTATTCAAACATAGCGGCGAAGGGCTCAAAAGATACATGCATCAGATACTTTGCAGAATATGGTCGGACGAAAGCATGCCCGATGATTGGAATTTAAGTGTGCCTTGTCCAATCTATAAAAGAGAGGATCCCACAGTCTGCGCCAAAGTCCGTGGGATAGCCCTCCTTAATATCGCTTATAAGGTTCTGTCGAGGGTATTATGTGAAAGACTGAAGCTGTGTAAGCTGACCTTGAGCAGCACTAAAATCTCCACCAGCATTAACACCAACAATAATGTCAGCCAAACAAACTCTACAAGTTCCTCATCGTTGCCGTCCTGCTGCATGGTGCGGACGCATGGACGATGACAACATCTGATGAGTCGGCGTCGTGAGTTTCAGGAGAAAGGTTTTACGTAAGATATTTTCTAAAGTTTCCTGTATTCCTTTTTGAATACAAAGCTTAAATAGAGCTTTATTTTTCTCTTAAAAGCGACTAACATTTCATTTTGTGCATCGTCATTTCTTTCGGAAGCTTAAGAATGCAATATCGTCACCGTGACCGTAGCTTCGCTGTGATTTGGGGCTCATTTCGTCGTCACTGGTTTATAGTAAATTAAAGGAACTCAAAATCGGTTTTCATTGCAAAAAAAAAATAAGAATACAATTTAACTCTATGTCTTCAATACCACTGACATCCAATTCCCCAATCAGTTATATTTAACTAAATTACATTTAATTACTACTTTTGTTAGTTTATCATTCACATTTAATTATTAATATAATTTTCATTCTGAGTAATTTTTGTTTTGGATGTTTTCCAAACTTGCTTGTTTTCCCCGGCTGAAATTTTCCCAACACGATCTTGCCAGCTTCCTCTCCAAATAAAACGTCAAAGTTACCCTCCCTGGTTAGTCTCCGAACATGGCTATTGCCTAATCTAATCTCTAATCTTTTTATATTTCTTTAAAATATTATTGTTTATACATATATTTTATATATGTACATATACTTTTTCAAATTGAAAGTAGATATGTTGGCATGATTAACTCCTCCTCCATATAATGATTTCTCTTTATAGTTTAATTTATACTCATGTACATATATACACTGCATGGTAAAAAAAACACATTTTCTACTGTGGGCGAAAAGTAAGGTGAATTTGTTTGTAAAATTAAAAACTTTATTTTATTCTCCCACATCGATTTCGTCGCCTTCAAAATAGTCCCCCGCCGATGCCAAGCACTCATCCCAACGATTTTTCCAATTATCGAAGCATGCCAAATAGTCACGTCCTGATATTCCAACCATATTTGTAAGGTCTCTAACAGCGAACCGACGATTTGGGGAACTAATTCCTTAATTTCATTGACGTGTTGCACATCAGTAAGCGTTGATGGTCGTCCCGAGCGCTCCAAGACATCAACACGTTTCCGACCCTCTGTATACACATTCTTCTGCGACATAGTTGAGTCTCCAAAGGCTCTTTACAAACAAAATTTGATCGCACTTATTTGCTCAATTAAATCAGACATTTTAAAACTCGCCGAAGGCACTTTTAGTCGTTTAGTAAACAAAAGCATAACTAACTAACTAAAATGCCAATGATGACTTCGTAATGAAATTTGGCGTGGATGTCAATAACAGTGCTACCAACATCAAAAAAAGAATTCCCCAAAAATATTAAACGCACGAAGCTCAAATTAAAAATTCACCTTACTTTTTGCCCACAGTAGTATAAAAATTTTTTTCCATAAGACAAAAGGGGCAACAAATATACGAGTATAACAATGAAAATAGGAATAAATTTAAAAATAAATTTTTAGACGACTAGAATAACTTAAAGAATATTAATTAACACATTTATCTTTTAAGCAATGATCCTGAGGCTGGCAGCGTCTACTCCTGCCCATTTAGTTTTTTGTTGTCAATATCCTATACTTTCGCCGCTATGTGGGAATAGTTGTGCATTGTTGAATATGCTCGATGTTGAATATCCTGGCATATTCTCTTCGGTATATAATAACATGGTGCTTCCTATGAAGCATTTCTTATGGGAATCTATAGTTATATAGTTATATAGAATCTATAGTTTCAGATTGATCCCAAACTAAATCATTAAATCATTAAAAATAGAACTAGGCTAATATATAATAGGTATATGTATGTAACCTTCGCCAGGGTTAATAGTCTGTTTGGAAAATTGTAGCGAGGCACGACTTTTAGTTTGAGGTGTTCATTTAGTTAGTGCTTTAATCAATCTAATTTTATTTAATTATATAAATATATATAACTGGCGGTTTGTAACCGCTGAAGCGATTTTTCGGCCGAGCTCTTCCTCCAAGTTGTAGTTTTTGCGTTGGTGGTGTTGGTGGTACGGGGATATGTTCGGTTCCGAATGTCAGTACCTAATCACTCGGCTACCGCCGAGTAAAGTAAGGAGAATAATTTGATTGTACCAAATTTTGATTAAATTTAATTTTTGAGCAGAAGGAGGGTATTTTATAAAAAAAAAAGATAATTAATCGTCGTCTCATATTGTGGCTCAAGTGCAAAGAGCTTAAGTTAGAGAAGTCAAAAATTATTATTTTTACTGAATGAGTGTTAAAGGCATGTATATATATACTTATGAATTTGAGTATATATGTTTGTAATATAATAAACGTTATCTCAATTTTTTCCTCAACATATTTCATACATATTTATTGCAATTTAATTTTATTAATTTTTTATTTTTGCTCTAAGTTTTAGTTCAATAAAATCCAAAAGTGCATAACCGTTAAATCAGTAGAACGTGTAGTGCAATCGAAGTTAGAAGAATAGAAGTGCATAACCGTTAAATCAGTAGAACGTGAAGTGCAATCGAAGTTAGAATAAGAGAAGACTGTCTCCCATTATAATCAAGAAGTTATAATTCACTATGTTGCTAAGGATTTTTTCCGAAACTTATAGATTTTCACGCAACATAGCTTTTCGATATTATAGTGCGAATGTAAGTGAAATGATTCCTTTATTTAAGGCATATGTTTGATTTGAAATACTATTTTCATTTGGTGAAGCCGATAAAAACTGTCAAAGTGCAAGTGCGTCAAGGTGTCGTAGTGGGCCGGGAGGAACGACTACCCAATGGAGAACCCTACAATGTTTTTCAAGGAATACCCTATGCATTGCCGCCACTGGGAAATTTACGATTTCAGGTGTGTTTTAAGTTGTGTGAATAATAAATAATAAACTCAAAAAGAGAAAAGAAGAAAAATAAAATCATTAATACCTTAATATATGCATTAACAAACGGACACAGACAAGTCATGATTTCCCTCAAAGGAATTTGATCTAGGAGATTTTTCGTTTGTTTGTCTTCTTAAGCTAAAGAACTCAGCAAACTTTTCTGTTTCAAACAGTCAGCTACATGCAAGAAAACCTTATCAATTACGTGCATACAAAACCAAATGTTTCCAATGAAAGTCAAGACTTTTTATTATTAATTACAATTTTTTTAAAGCTATCGTATGCTTCCACATAGAAAGAAAAGGTTTTTTATTCCAAGTCGAAAATCCAAGTCGATGCGAAATCAATTGTGATTGGATTTCAGAAGAGCTCCGAACGGGCTTTGAACTCGATAACGTTACTAATGACCTCCTAATCAGTTGAACGTTCCAATAAAACAAATATTAATGCATAAAAAACACGTTATCATCAAAGGGCGACAGTTAGTGATTTGTATCTCTAATAGAAAGGGAAAAATTAAAATAAAAGTTTGCACAATAACTTATTACTCACTCAATTTCATATAAATGAAGAGACTCAATTTTGCTTTTTTAAGCGGAAGTGGGGTATTTTACGAAAAAAAATATAAAATAAACCGTCGTCTCATGCTGTGGCTCAAGTGTACAGAGCTTAAATCAGAGAAGTCGTCTTTTAGCACTAATGGCAGGTACCGTCTGCGGGTACATTGAAAACCTTCTAAGCCCATATGGGCGACATTACCTGGCCAGCTTGCCCGCTGTCTCTTATTTCGTTGAACTAAACCTTCATATGGCTTCGTCGTACTCGTACAGCTCATTGTGATAGAATGGGAAAGTTCGGCTTATATTCATTGAGAGGGTGATTCTTATTAGCTAATTTATAAACTTAGATTAATTTCTCAATTCACAGCCCCCTGTGCCATTAGAGAAATTCGAAACGCCGGAGTTAGATTGTACAAAAATGAGAGAATGTTCTTGGCAACGAGATCGTCAGACGAAAAAACTTGTTGGTACGGAGGACTGTCTACACCTGAATATTTATGGACCTGTCAAGCCTACAATTCAAATATTGCCAGTTATGGTGTGGATACACGGTGGAGGATTCTCATATGGTCATGGTCAAGAGTATGATATTTCTAATAATTTGAGTTGGAAAATAAATTCTGTTTCTTTGTTAGATTTCTGCCGCTCAGCCTAATGATGGAGGATATAATTGTGGTATCTATAAATTATCGACTCGGCGTATTGGGATTTGGTTGTTTGCCAGAGGCTGGAATTTGGGGTAATGCCGGACTCAAAGATCAGGTGCGCACATTTTCGGATGTTTGCTAGACTTGATAAAGAAATAGTCTACTATCTCTTACATTATACAGCGACAAGCTTTGCGTTGGGTACAAGAAAATATTGTGTGCTTTAATGGTGATCCAGGCAATATTACCTTGATAGGGCAAGGCGCTGGTGGTGTTTGTGTAAGCTTGCATACTTTGGGTTGTCATGCAAACAAACTTTTTCACAAGGCAATCATGCAAAGTGGTACTGCAAACCAGGAATGGGCATTTCAACGGTCACCGCAAGAAAAAATGTATCGCTTAAATAAGTTGTTTGGCTGTGCATCGAATGATCCGAGGAAAATGCCATCACCGATAGAAGCACCTACTGAGGCGATTTTGAGCAAAACGAACTCTCTACTTTTACCAGATGAACGACGACGTTCTATACAGTTCCCGTTAGGACCTGTACTGGAAGATTCAAATAGTCCAGATCCAATTGTTAGCACACCAGTGTTAGATCGCATGTGTGAAGAAAACGCAATCAGCATGCCAACTATTATGGGCTATAATTCCGCCGAAGGTATTTCGTTAATAGGAAGCTGGCTCGAAGAACTTGACAAGGTCGATAAGGATCTTGAACGTTTTCTTCCCCGTAATATACCATTGCCGTTTGACCATCCACAAATGAAGGAATTGACACACAAATTACGAAAGGCATATTTTGGTGGCGGCAGAGTTACGCATGAGAATATTCAAGGTTTAGCAGATATCCTGGCGGATTACATTTATATATCCGGTATAAAGTTAGCAACGAAAATGCATGCTACACATCAACCAAACGCTCCACTTTACGCCTATCGTTTTCACTACACCGGCGAACGTGATGTTTTTAGAATTACAACGAAGTTCGAACATTTGAAAGGCGCTTGCCATGGTGATGAGCTCTTTTACATCTTTCAAACATTCGATGACGATGTAAGCATATTTGACCCAGCAGATATAAAAATAATAAAACAAATATGTGCGATGTGGGCAAATTTTGCCCGGCATGGTGATCCCACGCCAAAGGATAGTGATATTACGAAGGAGCTCGGCTTCAGATGGACACCTGTGCGGAAACCTATTGGCGACGATTCGGGACAGGATTATTTAAATATTGATTATCAAAGTGAAATGATACAGGATCCTGATAAGGCACGCGCAGATTTTTGGTTTGACATATATAATGAATACGCGCCGAGAGATTACTCGATTTTAAATAAATGTGATTAAATAAATATATTTCTTTATATAATCAATATATGTACATATGTATGTACAATATGTACGAGTATAATGCATCCAATATATGCACATATGTACTTATTTTGAATTTAATTTTTCTCTGGCAGTATTTAAGCTTAGGTTGCAAATAAAACTTTCAATTTTACTTAATCAAAAAAATCAGAAACTTTCTATACTAATTTAAGTGCAAGAAATATCTACAAATTTATGATAAATATATAGAAAAAAAAAACAACTCTCACAGTTTTAGCAGCTTTCAAAATGCTTTTTTTGGTTGCCTGTAAGGTGGTTTTTGCGGGCAATCAACTGTAGTTGCCTTGCCATATTGTCGTGTCGTGACGTAAGAGTTTTTTGTAGAATTCCAAGAGGGGCTCACAAACGATTTTTGGTCTTAGGCCAAGTAATCTCTGGGCTGCCAACAAATATTCATTTAGAGAACGCTTAGCCCCCTAACCGGCCATTTTTTGTTTTTAAAGATAAAATTCACATCGACTATTTCGGATGCGAGAAACCCGATTTTGAAGTCAGATTTCAAATGGTTTATATATATTTGTTGATGCAAACCATTGCAGAACTTGGATATTTTTGAGCATTGGTTGTTGTGGAACAGTTGGAAGCATCTATTATTATCAGTCAGAGGTACGTGAGCATTCTTGCTTAACTTCGATATCGTAGTTGGAGCAGTACTTTTTGGTCGCCTTAGTGATCTCTTCAGAATTTTATTTGAAATGCCAAAGCACATCAGTTACTTCAGTTCGAAACAGGCAGCTTCAGATGAGTAAGTTGATGCCTTGCACGAATTCGCCGATAGTGTAGGTATGAATTCGTCGTCGCCAAGTCTACAATGCGGTAGAATATATGCAGTGTCCACTTCTTTGTTTTCATCCGAATGTTGAAGCGTCTTACTAAGCTATATTTTGAGATTAATTCCGCCCATATGACTGTTGTACTCGATTACCCGCGTATGTTGGAGCTAAACATGTAAATTTTGGGCGTCGGGCGTCGGTCTTGAAGCAAACGGCTCGCTATATAAATGTGTAAAAACTTTAATCTTACTCACCTAGCGAAGTTGTGCGCTGTGTTTAAGACCCGCCACATAGAAACAAGTTCCAATGAGAAAGTTAGCAATGCATCGGATGAGATACCCCCTTATGCACCTGGAATGTCCGGTACCTTAATTGGAAAGGTGCCTCTGCCCAGCTGGTTGATGTCCTCCTAAGTTTAAAGGCTGATATCACCGCCGTCCAAGAAGGTCGACAGACGGGGCAAGGGCGAAAGCGAGTAGGTTCTTGTGATATTTACTACAGCGGCCATATAAAGGAACGCAAATTCGATGTCGGATATGTGGTTTGAGAGAGACGATGTGAAAATCGTACTTGGCGATTTTAATGCCAGGGGGGGGGAAAGAAGGTATCTTTGGAACAACTGTCGAAAAATTAAGCTTTCACAACGAAAAATTCCCCTAGTGGGTTGAGGTTGATCGATTTCGCCGGGGTCTGAAATATGGTTGTCTGTAGTACTATTTTCCAGCACAAAAAAATACATCGAGCTACTTGGCTGTGCCCTGATCGAAAAACACAACACCAGATAGATGATTTTGTGATAGACGGATCGATAATGTTGTCTTGACGTACGTACATTCCGACCCAACATCGACTCGGACCACTATCTTGTTGCAGCAAATATACGAATGCGCCTCTGTATATCGAAGAACGCCCGTCAACAAACAATCACAACAGACTGCCGAACGATTTTCTACTCGACTTGCACTCCTGCTCTCTGAGAGAACTCATCAGCAACTCGATATACCGGACCTGTTGGACTCTTTACGTACAGCTGAAAATTAAACTATTGGATCTCGTAAAGGTCGCAAAACAGCTGGTGCGATAAGGACTGCCGTGGCGCAATGGAAAGAAAAAAACTGCCTACCTCGCAGCCTAGCGATCGACCACAACACGTGAGGGATGGGATACATACCGGGAGCTGAAGAGGGAAGCAAAACGCATCTGTAGTGCGTGAAAATGGAGAATCCGGAGATTGTGAACCCTAAACTCCAATCTAAAGGATGTTCCATTACCTGACCATGAAGAAGTTCGAATATCAACCGCCCGCTTAAAAACCAACAAAGCGTCGTTTGTTTTGAAACCTGAATATGCTCACCCAAACCATGAGCCATTATCGTGGCTGTTTAAACTGGCACTGATCAATGCAAGTAAAATAGTCAGTATTGGGAAGAGGCTCACTGAGCCCTTCGACAACAAGTTCAGTTTCAGATGAGAAGACTCTACTTAGGGTGTCTTCTTCACACCTTCACACTGGAGAAAATGGGAAACGATTCGATTGGATCAATCAGTAAGCAGGTTCAAAAACATAACGGTGCCGGAGGTAGCAAAAATAATTAATGTCGGACCGAAATCAAAGGGATCCAGCTACAGTATTAAATTCTTTCTTAACTTCGAAATAGTTAATAATTTCCCCAACTTTTTCGGTATTAGTTCATATAGAGGACACATCCATAAAAATTAAAAAAAAAATTTTGTTTCGACTGTTTCAGATGCATCGCCCAATCTCCATCACCCACACCGTTTCACGAGTTCAGACTGCAACTGCTTCAGAAAATTTCTCATACCATTGGAAAATTCCAATATTTTTTGATAATTAAAATTAGTTTTTGAACTTAAATACAATACCTTATTGTCTGAAAATTTGGTTTACCTAAATCATTTCCCTCTCTTTCAAAAAAAGTTGCTGAAAAAAAAACTTATGTTTGGCTTCTAAAGGAGACCACTGTACTGACTGTATTGGCTTAGGCCAACTAGAATGATATATAAGGGCATATTATATACTCGTAAGTATTATAAACTGCATGTATGTATATGCTTTCAAGTTTCTCATCTATTGCTCTGTAGAATTCCTCATTTACCGCTAAATAAAAATATATACGAGTATGTGACCTCCCCTAACGAAGAGAGTGAAACAAAGTTGCTGGGTAAAATATTAAAGCAAATGTACACACATACACATATACTACTAAACCATCACGTTTATTTTCTAATTATTTATTGATTCATTTATTTGACTAGTCCATTCGCTTAAACACTACAACAAAAAAAAAGTATTTCTTCTTATAAAGTATAAACTAGCAGAACTTAATATTAATATTAAGAGAGTTAAACGTAATTAATTTTTATTACCGAAATTTTGCTGCCAATTCGTGAAATTTAAATGACGTTTGTTTGAATGGTCAAAAGAAAAAAATAAATAAATAAATATAAAATATGAAATTTCGTAATCGAAAATACTAATTTATCAGTAAATTAAGAGTTATTGCTATGCATTCATTTCACCTTCATTTTATGCCCATATACATATACATATGTACACATAAATGTATATTTATTTAAATAATTAAAAAAAATGTGTTATATTTGTTTTGTGATTGAATTTTTTTTTTAGTTTTTTTTTCTTTTACACTTTAAAGGATTTATTTGGCTTTGATTGTAGTACTATATCTATTTTGGTTTAGTTAGAGCTATTTCAATAAGAAAAATGAATTTGTGAAATCGCCATATGTCGAATGAAAGCGAATCGAAATTAATTGTTTATTTTTTTTCTTTTTTTTTTATGTTTTAAGCGTATAAACGAAACGCGTACAAAACACCTATATTTTACATCGTACACATACCCAAAAATTTACATACATATGTATTATATAGTAAATATACATATGCAAATTAAAATTGCAAAAAAAAAAATCTATACGCTAATTTCGAGTTTGATTTATCTACGTACAATTCATACATACATACATTTATACTAACAACAGTTACATTTAGTAATATATTATATAGTTTGAAATTGTATTCTCTTGTAATTTATATTTGTTGTTGTTGTTGTTGTTGCTATTTGTAGCCACACTACTACACTGCTAAAAATCTATATGAGTCGCGAATCCTTTTTTTTTTTTTGGGTTTTTGTTTTTTTTTTAATTTTTTTTTTATAAATACACATAATTCTCACGTACATTTGTGTAAAAGTAAACAAACGTTCTTAATGAAACTATTTCTGAATGCGTATATTGAAGTTATCATATTTAGAAGTGTGTTTAAATTACTTTAAATGTTTTAATACATAAACGATTTTATCAAAACATTTAATTTTTTTTTTCATTTGCTTTTAAATTATTAATTATAATTATTAGTTTTCCTTTTTCATTTTTGGTGTTTACTCACAGCTATTTAAGCATGATGCATTTTTAGTTTGACAGATATTCATTTAAAGAAATTAATTAATAAAATTAAAGAAAGTTTCGTTTATTAAAATATATTACTGATTTACCAAGCACTAAATCAAACGAGAGTATTTATTTCATACTTTATTTAAGAACAATTCAAACTGTTTTTCTTTTAATGTATAAACGCTTTGTTAATTTGCTTTTCTTGTAGGAGAAACGCTTTTCCAGAGTATTTATACATACAGTTGAATGTCCATAATATTTGTGTCTACTTTCCTGTACAACTGTGTAACCTTTGTTCAGTAAAAAATAAAGTCCATGAACAACTTAAAAAAAACTCGCAACTCAGTAAACTAACAACATATTATTAATTGCCTCTAAATAACTCATTTGATGAAATCAAAGAGTTGAAAACTTAAACACGTTAATAATCGAGTGAAACTTAAACATTTCTATATATAAATACTAAACAACATGGAATCTACAAAAAATGTGCTACAATATATGAAACAAATGAATAATTGTAATTCTATTTGATGTAAGCATGTCTACAAGTGCTTATGCTACGCTGTATTCGCATCAACAGCAGCATGATGCTATTCGATACCACGCTCTTGAGCTTCTCTTACTACCTACACACACAAATATATATAAGTAAGTGTAGCTCTGGCGTGTTGCTTGCTTCTTAAATTCTACAAATTGTTTGTTAATTTTACTGTTTATTTTAATTTTTTGTTTTTTAATTTGCAAATTTTCATTTACGAGCTTAAAAATGCTTCAACGCAAATGTACGCTTCAAGTATAGACAGATGGCTCGATGTATTAATTCGTACTGCTCTGAATTTTGTACCATACCGCCGCGTTGTAGACGCAAATTACAAACAATGCCCAAAACATCGACAAATATATCGGGAATTTTCGGCAACTCGTTTATGGCCGGTAACGGCCATGTTAGCGTTTGTTGCGCTTCGTCGCCATCATTTTTCACATTTTCAATTATTTGATTATCTCTGCTATCAACTGGGTCGTTATCGACACCTTCTAGCTTCTGTTTCTGCTGCTGTTGTTGTTGTCGTTGTTGCTTTCTTTTACGCTGCAGTATATAGTTTAAATAGTAGAAGGTATTACGCGTGAAACTGCTCTCGGAATCGCTCACACTGTTGACCATTGTGATTGCGCGCTGCGCCTCTTCCACATACCGTACAGGCAGTGCAAAATCAACAGGACTGAGTAATGTTTGTGTATTGGGTAACTCGTTAGCAGCGCCAGCGCTGCTTTCCTGCTCTTTGCATACCTCTGCGGCCATTGTTGTTAGCGAATAGGCAAACGATTGTCTTAGCTGGCGTACAGCATTCAATAAGGCTGTGAGACAACCAGTGCGTCCGATGCCCGCGGAGCAATGTATGATCGGCAGTGGTTGCATAGCATTGAATATATCCTGTTGATACAAGTCTACAGTTTGTGCGAGAATATGACCAGCAGGTTGTGGCTTCAAAACAGAAATAACATCATTATCGTCAAACTCGAATGAATCGAACTCCGCTTCGCATTTACCGAGATTGAGTATATGCAAGCAGATGTCCAGCAATGTGTTAATGTCGCGAGGCGAACGATGATCAGGCCAATCGGGGTACCAGTAGTGATAGCAATATAAGCGATTTATTAGCAATATGGAATTGCCGCTACCATCAGTACTCGCGCCTATATTAATGCAGTACAGCATAACCAGTTTACGTATTGAGAAACCGTTCTTACGTACAATGCCAATATTTTTGATGACAAAGTAATTACCACGTGTTGGTGGCAGGAAATGTTGCAATTCCGCGCTTACTTCTGCCTGATAATATTCGATACCAATGTGTGGTTCGGGCTCAGTACCGTCATCGGTCAAATGTAACGGCGGTGGAGTTGTTTCGTTTGGCAGCAAATAGGCATTAAAGAAGTCCATTGCTTCGGCATTGGGTGTAATAACCTCTTGCCAACTGGTCGTTATAAATATTTCATTCAATTCGATGGGAAAGTATACGGCACATTTTTGTCGATTATTTTCTGCGAAATTCGTGAGCATTATGACTTTTTGATAGTATTGTATAGTTCCCGCTTTATTATCGGTGGTTTGGAAATATCGCCGCGTATTCTGGTATACCATTAACCAAAATTCGAAAATCGTGTTCGGCAAGGGCCCTTGTGTGGCCACATAGCATTTGGATGTGTAATCCGGTCCCTATAAAATATGTGCGATATGATATTAAATACAAAATTATTAAATTGTTCAAACATACCTTAATATAATTTGCATTGATGTAGGGCACTTCGTCCATTACGTTGAGCTGACGTAATATGTGATCGGCTAGCGTTGCGTGGTCGTCCCGTATGTCCTCGGCTAACTCTGTCAGTTGTTTAGCCTCCTTCTCCAGCAGCACACGTGAATTTTCGTTTGGCAAAATTGTTTTGTAACGGTTTTTAGCCTGTGAGCCAAATACCATCGGTTTTTCTTGATGATTCAAAGGAAGATCCCAAAATTCTTTGTGTAGATCGCAAAAAATACGTTTCTGCTCATCATCATCTGGTTGCATTGTTGCCAGTACGGACTGTACAGCTGTTAAATATCGTTCCGTTACTTCGCAATCTTCAGATGTGGAGATACGCGTGCCCGGTGGTGTCTCAGCCTCTTTATTGACGCGCACGCTTAGCAAGGGCACTGCCTGCTCAGCTAAACCTTTGTTGTTAGACGCATAACTGTTGTCGAAAATGTAATTTAATTTGATTAAGTCGAGTTGGTTAAGTGCATTGGAAGCATTCTGCAGCATTTGTATATTCGCTAAATAGATTTTGAACTCTTCACTAGTGCTTTGTGGCGACAGAGGGCGTGTCATAATGTTCCGTACACCGGTACAGGAACAAAGCGTGCTTTCTTGAAAATTGAAGCTATCTCGACGTGTTTCACCCAGTGGCTGCTGACTACCAGTATTAGTACCGACAGTACCACTGCCACCGCAATCCAACGACATGCTAGCACTCGGCTTTAGATCTGATACTGAACCAAAGCAAACTTGTTTGGCATTCCGTCGATGAGCTTGATTCAAATCCGCAAATGGTGTGGCGCCACGATTTAAACTCTCGCTACTGAAGAACCGGCGATGCGGAGTGGGCGGTGCACAAGTTGGCTTCGAATGTAGCGCACCCATGTCGGACTCCGCTGCACATGCGTCACCTAAGTATAGACTGCTGCTGGCATGCACCTGTCTTTCGGTGCCAATGCCGCCAAAAGAGCTGCCCATATTCAGGGTTAAACTCTGATTGGAGCCGCGTCGTTCCAACAGCCCACGCTTCGTCGTAGCATTGCTTGTCGTGTTTTGAGTTTGCGTTATAAACGAAGTGGTGCGAGTCACCTTGTTTAGTGAATGTTGGCTGGCGTAGGTGTTCAGATTTCCACAAGACGTCGCGGTGAGAGTTGTGAGTGTCAGACTCTGATTGGAGCCGCGACGACGAAAGAGGCTCTGTTTGGCACCTTGAGTCGGAGTAGCGTTGGGCTGCGGTTGATTTATAATGGGGGTGACGCCCAAATCTAAATTGCAGCTGGATTTTGAATTGAGATTTGTCGTCGAGTTACTAGCTGCTGGGCCCAGACTATAGTTGGAGACACTTAGGCCGCTGCGACAGTTACCAAGTAAATTTCCACAAGACCCATGCAGATTCAAAGTAAGACTGTGATTTGAGCCACGACGCTGCAGCAAGTTCGTGGAAGAGGCTGATGCTATTGGCTTAGGGCGCATCGCCGCGCTGGGCAGCTCCATCGACTTCTGTTTGTGCGGTTGATGTGCACCCGCTGTGTTTGCCGGTGTTGAAAACTCAACCAGTGTTAGGAATTCAGGGAGCGTTTTTAAATTCGTATTTGAAGCATGCAACATGGCGTTATGCTTATGAATTCCACGATGCGGTGTGAGCATTAATGACGCGGTGCCAGCTGCATATGGTGCGCATAGCAACGCATTGTTGTTACCCGTTCGCGCTTCTTTATCGACCTCCTCTTGTAAAATAACCACAGTATCGATATCGACTTGTGGGTGTTCGAATAGTTCAGGTTCGCCGGTACCAGTACAATACGCATCGGCAGAGTTGCGGCTCCGATGATACGCCGCCAGCCATTCGGTAGAAGTATTGCTGCTTGTACTGCCTGGTAGACGTCTACGCGGCGTGCGCGGAAAACTGCTACCACTCAGTGGTGTTTTCAATGAAGATGTGGTGCTACTTGGACATAGGGATTGTGTTTGTAGATGCGCGTGTGTAGGTATTATGCCGTCACCGAGTAGAGCCAATTGTGAAAGTGATGTAGAACGATTGCTGGCAGCCGCTGATGGAAGTCGCAAATTGCGATCACTAGTCATACGCTCGAATCGTGCACCGCTTACGCTGCGCGGCATAAATTGCTGCACTGGAAGACAACCACGACGAATTGTTTGAGCGTCAATCTCGTCACAACTAACGTGTGAACTGTTTCGTCCCCCAGACGAGACGATGATTGTAAGTTCAGAATCCCGGGCAGCTGAGTCCAGTGACAACGCTTTTTCTTTGGTACTTTTGATGGTGGGTGTTTTCGGTTTAGATGAAGGCGAGGGCGACGTCGGTACAGTGCCACTTGGGTCCGTTATTGTACAGGGTATATCCGTTATTTTTATGGTCAAATTATTTTTGTTCTTTCGATTTTTCTTACTATCGGCTGCAGTGACGTTTATTGCACATGGTTTTGTAGACGTTGAAGCTGCGTTTTCGTCGGCGAGCAATTTGTCCGGATTATTGCTATTGAAATTTGTGTTTAAATTACCACTATTAGAAACTGACTTCTGGCGTTCTTTGCTGGTGCCATTACTACGTTGTCTGCTATGTCTAATTTGCTGTTTGTCACACATACCTGCGGCAGTATCTTCGGTTCGTGGATCAGCCGATGTTTGTTCATGCACCACTTGATCGATTTCCGGAAATTTAAAGTAATTGCCATTTTTATAGCCTGCTGAGCTAATAACGCCAAGTGGCGAACCAGTCAAGTTGAGATTATTTAGTGATGCTAATAATTTTGGTGAACAAGGAAGCCGAGTACCACTACTGCTACCCGCTGCCACATTTATATCGAGTATCTTTGGTGAAACTGTTTCAGTTTCTAATAACGCTATAGGTGAACTATTACCGCTATTAGATCGCAGTTGCGACTCCCTTCTCTCCGTCATGCCAGGTCTAAATAATGGCTTGGCATTTTCCTTATCAGCCATTGCCGCAACACATTCAGTACTACTATCCACAGAGGCAGACACAGCATTTTTTAACAATACTTGTTGTGGCGAACAAGAGCGTCGTTCGTATAGGGAAAATCGCCTTAATTTTCTTGACACAACTGGCGATGTACTCATAGACAATTGTTGTCGCGCGCCACCTAAGGAGCGCGACGTAACTGTAGCAGTTGGTGTAGGAGTTTTTCGTTGCAGGACCATTTCTGTTTGTTCAGAAGCTTGCGGCGAAGAGCAGCGCAACTCAATTATGTCGTCCATGTGTTCTAATTTCGTGGGTGACGGAAACTCAAACGTACCCTGAATATAATCTAAAGGTGTGTAATAGGGAGTACTCTTGTCGCTGCTTATATCATCATAATCTACATCGGACATCGGCGGTGCATATTCAAAATGTGAACTACGTGGCTGTTCTGTGGAAATAGGCGTAGCGCAGTTACTATTACTACTGATAGGAGTAATGGAAACCGAAGACGTATGTTGATGTGTACTTTTCTGTTGCAAAGCCGTTGTTGATTGATTGTTATTTTTATAATTTTCCATCTTCAATTTAATTTTCTTGTACTGCCAGATCTTATTTACTTCTGCTCCAAATTCCAGAGGCCGCTGTCCGCAAAGTAATGCATGTCTTTATTTTCGCAGTATATTGAGCTAAAAAAAAGATATGTTATAAATATACTCAATTAAAGTTCAAAATTAGAAGTGAACATATTTTCTAGTATTTGCGGAAGGACTATCTTCGAGTGTACATACCTACTCAAGCATATGTGTATATTTTAATTGTAAATTAGCTTTGTTTCAAACATAGACGAAGGAAGGAAAAAACAACAAAATGTAAACAAAAATACCAAAAACATTAACACTCGAAATGCAAACAAACGAATCGACAGGTATTAGATATCTTTTAAATGTTCGTTTGTATATATGCACGCATAGCCTGTGCCAGGTTTATTAGCAAACAATATAAAATTGCTGATGCTGAAATTTATTTCCTTCTTGCGGGCTATTTACTTTATCTATAAATGCTAAAAAAAAATTATGAAAACAAAGTTTGGCAATGAGAGAAGTACTTTCCGCATTTTAAAAATGAATATAGCTTCTTAGTTATGTATGTACATATACTAAAATAATTGATTTTGTGTGGAAAAAATAACAAAGTTTACCTGCACCAATCTAGCATTTATAGAATTTGGTGGTCGATGAAGGAACTACGCGCAAATACTTAACTACACAGAGGAATTTGTTATATTTAGATCTCCAAATCTATTTCTAAAATATTGCTAGTACAAATTTTATATGGCACAAATATTAGCATAATATTAAAACGCGCTCCAGGGGATTCGGTACTGAATCTCATGTAAAAAAAAAAAACAAATCAATGTAGCTTAGACTACGTGCGTATTTCTATTTTTACATTAAAATTGCCCTAATTGTCTTCGAAGCGGAACCGCATTTGAGGCGTAAGAGTTAATGACCAGCGAACAGAAGATTGTGCAGTGTAGCGGAAGGACTTTCACCAACCATTCAACGTAAATACGTGATAGGTTTATTTCTATTTTTATGTGCAAACGCTATTGCTCCGAGCAGTACTACAACTTCTTTTTCACTTAGATTTTATATCTATTTTGGCATTTTACATTTTTTGTTTGTATATTTTCCAAAGTTGTTTTCTGCGTTTTAGATTTAAACTTAGCCACATATGCACTTGCATACCAAATATGTATGTGCCTTTCCGACTTTATATTGATGCATACAAATATTCAATACCCATTTTTCGATTTAATCCATATATTTCATTCTCAGGACGCCTATTTTCCATGTTGGATCACAGCAAAAAGACATTAATTGTGCTCTTGATTGTTGCACTTATATGTACATATGCAGGTTTCCTAGCACTTTGTCCAGTGTTTATTTATGCTTCCTTCGTGATGAGGCAAATACACGGAGTGGCGAAATGAATTTATTAAGTTTCTAAGTGAACACCAATAAAATTTAGTTAAATAAAGTTCAGTTTATAATATTTTTCGTATTATTTTTTGGATGGCGTATTGAAAAGTAGCAGTAGCGAAAAATCACTAATATACACAATAGTGAACTAAATTCGGGTGCACATAGTATCTAGATACAATTGTAAGGGTTGCCAAGAACCTTTTCCTCAAGTATCTACAAAATGACTGTTCTACACTTGCTAGTTACAACATTTGAAAGAACATGGTGGGTACTCGGTTACAATATATAGAAATAAAATTTGCGTACAAACTCTGAAACTTGCTTTGTTAGTATTTGATGGCTTTGTAAGCAATATTTAAAACTCAGCTCTTTCTAAAATATCACTTGAGGAGAATAAATTTCTCAAAATAGCGTTGAGATTAATCACGCCATGGAGACCAACTAATGGGAGGTCAAAAAATTATAACGGGTTTGAGTCAGAGGAAAGACTTTCCCATCCACCACTGTATCGGAGGCCTAATTTCTTTCTTGCGAACAGGTAATTGCTTGTTTAAATATCTCATAACTATAATAACTAGTTTACATTCAAAACCACTAATTTTAAATTTCCTTATGCTACTTGCCAAAGTTACAATCTCAGCCTTAAAAATTTTATTGGCCGTTATGGAGTAAGTACGGCTACTACTTATTTTCAGTACTATCAAAGCAACACTGGTATTTAATCTGTAGATAAAAGTGCATTTTTTGTTTAAAATCACAAAAGCAAAATTTTAGAAATTAATTTGCTACGCCAAATTCGGCAGCTCCAAATTTAATTACTTGCAGTTTTTTAATGGTATGTAGTTGATAAAATTAACAACTGCTGGTTGAAAATGAATACGACAAAAGAAGAATTCTTTAAATAATAGTTAAGCAATGTTGATTACTGGTGGATTAAAGAAAATACAAAGAAATCTTTTGTTTGATAATTCGCACAGCTGAGATTATTGGAAAATTCGTAAATAATAGAAAAACTCCAACTAGATGATTCATCGTATGAAAGCATAACGCAAACAACAATAATGCGTGGGTATTTCCAACGGAGTACGTTAAATTTTCCGGCATTCTAATTGGCGTCCATCAAATTTTCTGCAGTACAAAATTTCACATATGCAGATGTGTGTGTTGGCTAAATATCGCTGGACGGAAATTATGCATATATATAATTTACTGAAAATTTTCCTGCTCCATATAAATAATTGGAAATGTATAGCGAAGCGCTGGGCTAGCGACCGCGACACCTAACCCATTCAATGTATAATAGTATGCGTTGCGCGTTTTGGGCTTTCTTGCATACCTTTAAATTTCATTGTTTGCAGAACTGATTAATACCATTAACTTGTGACATGGTGAATGCTCATTCTCGGCGTATAACAAAATAAACTTAATTACAGTATTTGAAAAGTATTTCAATTCCATTTTGGTAATTCTTACTTAAGTATTTACATTTCAATGTATATTACAGGATTAATGGCAACAACAGTTAAAACTTTGAAATGGATCTAGTGGATATAGATCAAGTTTTAGACAACTTGGAGCTACGAGAAGCCGCCAATGAACATAATAGAGTTGTCACAACAGGAATCGCGCAAGTAGCACAAAATTCGGTCGAACAATCAAATCATGCTTCTAAAAGCGGAACCGGAAACCCTATAGGCAATGTGAGTTCTCCTGCACACAAAAGTGGTTTTGTCGCTGTTTCGCAGGTATTCAACAGTTTGGATGATTATCAAAAAAATGTGGAGTCGCTGGAATCTGCACCAGTACAGCGTTACGATGAAGAGTGCCGTCTAATAAAGGATATTACGAACTCAAAACACAAGTTAGAGTCAATTCCAAATAAAAAAGAAGCTGACCTAGATTTTATTGAAGATATTAAAACTAAGGAGCAAGATCATAATGCTCCGGCAAACGACATGGTTGTGAACACATTTGATGGCAGCAGTGACGGTAGCCCTCGCATATCACACACACATAATGCAGGATACCATGACGATGCTGAGGATGAGGAAGATGCCAGTGACGATATACACAAATTCACAGAAAATGTCAAACACGCGCGGCGCATTGGTTATGAGGAGAATGAAGCAACTGATAACAGTCCGCTTTCTTCTGATTCCTTGACAACATCATCGTCATCAACATTCTCGTCTGGCCCGTCACCAGGTATTGTTTCCACAACTGATGAACACTCAGCGCCACTAACACCAGACGGCGCTTGTGCAAGCGATGATCGAGATGAACTATTACCAGTAAATCCGACTGTTACAGAACCAGATGAAGATGATGACAATGATGATGAAGAGCCTGACCACATGACTGATGGAGAGGCCGAAGAAGATGGGGAAGAACAGGGCACAGACAGTGTACCGCAACCTGATAGCACTGCCGGAATGGAAGATATAGCTGTTGGTCTGTCGTCTATATCATTAGCAACGGGAAATTCGCAACTTAATTTACCGACGGCTTCCTCAGTTTTGCAAAATGTACTAAAAGACCTATCAGAGAGCACAGAAAACTCGTTATTAAGTCAGCAATACGAAGCAGCAAAGAATAAGGGTGAACCAGAAGTAAGTTAAAAAAAAAAATAAGTTTATTTAAAATGAAAGTAATGTAAGAGTATTTACACTTCTGTACATTTTTTTAGCAAAGGCCACCGCTTAACGCTGAACTGAGTGCAATGGAACATATAGGCGAAACAGTTGCAGATAAACCTAATAGCAAAAACATCGAAACCAACGCTCCTCCATCCAAACTGGAGGTTATAAAAGGTTTTCAACAACCAATAACCTTCGGTTCTACCATGGATGAAATCTCCGATACGGAACTGGACAGCATGCTGCAAGAGATGGATATCGATGATGTCAGCGACGTCGATGCCCTGCCTAAATTGAATGTCATCTCTACTTATAATTCACCACCAACCGCTCAGCCAATATCAACAGTAACCAAACCCACTGAAGCCGTAACAACAGTTGTTGAAGCAATGCCAACAAGAAATATTGAGGAAAAGTGTCAAGAATCGGAAGCCGACACCGATGGTAAGGATAGAGTAGCTGATATTAATGTAAAAGAAATGACTGAAGTTGGTGCCATCAGCGATTGTCCTAATGCAGACAGTTTTTCGCAAGCATCAACTGTTGAATTCTCTGAATTGCGAGCACATTCCATAATACCCGAACAAACCGATACCAATATGTTGCCTTCATCTAACTCAGTTGCGTCATCGTATACTGGCTCAGAATGCTCATTAGAAGGAGGTGTAATCGGTGGTGATAGAATAAGTGATGAGAATGTCCCAACTGGTACAGTTGATTATATACGCAAAACTTCTGCTGAAAATACAGACGATGAAAGCGGTAGTACAGATGAAAGCGCTTACAGCGAAGGGGCTGAGCAAAGACCACAACGACCAACATCACTTAATTTACCGTTAATACAACCAAACCTTTATGAAAATGCAGGTCAGACTCCACCGGGAGTGCTTCAGTTGCAAAATAATGCAACCAATGCGACAAATAGTAATGAAGCTGGTAACGCGCCCACAACTTCCACAGATGATATGATCAACAGTAGTGGTGAGGTGGCTGAGGCTACAGGTTACAGTGATCCCTACGCGAATCTTGGTAAAGTGCCACCAATTTGGGTGCCAGATAATATGGCAGCTGGTTGCATGCAATGTCATGCTAAATTCACTATGATAAAGAGAAGGCACCATTGTCGTGCTTGTGGCAAAGTGCTATGCTCAGTTTGTTGTTCGCAAAAATTTAAACTGGAGTTTCTCAGCAACACAGCCGAATCACGCGTTTGTCTACAGTGTTTCCTTATACTAACTCAGAGACAACAAGGCGGTGGCACTGTTGGCAGTGAAGCGAGCGCCAGTTGTGATGACGATGTCGTGGGAGCAGCTGGAGCACCAAACGCGACGTCTAATTCAACAAATGGTCAAGTACGTTCACCCAATCCTAACAACCCCATGGAATACTGCTCTACCATACCGCCATACAGGCAGGTGAGTTCACAGAACGTACCACCACCATCGGTCATTGTGCCGGTGGGAGTGCTGAAAAAGGAAGGCAGTAGCTATTCCTCAAATTCATCGAATGGAGCTGGCGATGATAACAAAAAGGCACGCAAGCGTAAGAGTGTTATGTTTAGTGATGGCATAGCACCCGGTAGTGATTTGGCTAGCATGGAGCATCAGTGGACAGATGCGAAGCATGCGCGTCGTGGCGCGCAACAACAGGGCGATAAATCGAGAAACAGCAGCGGTGCTGTAAACAAACCACCCACACCGGTACGAAGTCAGCCAAGTAGTAATAGTGAAGCTACAGCAATGGGTTTAGTTGCATCATTGTTTCGTGGTTCCATACCGCCAATGGCTGCAGCGGCTACAATGGCGGCAGTACAAGATGGTGAGAACGGTAGGATTGAACAGGTTCAAATATGATCGTTTTCTTTTATATTTCGGATTTTTCCTCCCTATAATAGAACCAATTAGAACTTCACCTAACAAATCGAAGAACACCACGACTACTGCCAAAGCAACAGAAGCGGCTGTGGTAGCACGCACCAAACGTTTGCCACCATCAGGCTGCGATGAGAATGGCTGCTTTATACCAAAAGGTGACAGCAACTCTTTGCCACCAATTTATCTGCGCAAAGATGAAAGCAACTGTGATTTTGATTACAAAGAGGTCGGTAATAATCAAGAGCTTGTGAAGCGTCTACAAAGCGAGACACTGCGTTTTGCGCTGGAAAAGAATTTCTTTGTCGATGTCAAAATATTGAATTGTAAGTGCAAATAATTTTATACTTTCTCATATGAATTATGCATGAAATATATATTTTATTTTGTACCTTTCAGTAAAATGTTGTATGAATCGCACTGTTATAAACTTTACCACTTGTGGTATGCATCATGTTGGTAATGATGAGTTGGTTATTCTATTGGAACTGGATGCACAATCGACTAGTTCAGTGGATAGCAAAGAAGCAACGACGGCACCAATACCGAAAGACATTTTCATACATCTTTATGAAATTTATCGTGATGCCGAGTTGGGCAACCCAATTGCCGAACTCTCATACACAAGTCCACGATCAAGTAATTTCTTGGGCACACGTGACTATGGTGGTTTCATTTTCATACGCGCCACTTTTCAATGTTTACAAGATGTGTTAGTGCCGGAGCAGCCCTTCCTCATAGGTATACTCATACATCGGTATGAAGTGCCATGGGCGAAGGTATTTCCTCTACGTCTAATGTTGCGATTGGGTGCACAGTATCGTTACTATCCCTGTCCGCATATCTCCATACGTAATCGAGAATCGGTTTATGCCGAAATAGCTCAGACAATAATTAATTTCTTAGCGGTGAGTAATAATTGGATTATACGGCTTTATCATTTTAGGGTGTAAACTATTATTTTTTTGGCTTATTGATTTTAGGATTTCCGCAATTATTCATATACATTACCTTGCATTAAGGGCATGTACATACATATGGAGGATAGGCAAACGACAGTAATTATACCACGCAATCGCCAAGATGACGTTATTAAAGCAATTAAGAATGCTAGCGATCACATATTGGCTTTTGGTGGAAATTTTTCAAAAACTGCGGACGGGCATTTGGTGTGTATGCAAAATGTAAATGATATGGGTACGGAAATGTATGCGTATTCTACACAAGCTATCAATATACAAGGACAGCCGCGTAAAGGTAGGTAGGGGCTAAGTGGACTTGGCTATATTTAATTAGTTTTGTTTTCAATTGTTTTATTTTTTTATTTTGTGTTGTTGCAATTAAATTAAATTTTTAATAAGTTTTTTATATTTTTTTTTGTTATTTTTTTTTCTATTCGAAATCAGTCTATTTTATTTTTTTTCTAATTAAATTTTTATTTATTTATTTATTTATTTTTAAATTTGAGTTTTTGTAAATTTTAATTTTTTTATTTTTTTTTTTTTCATTTTATATAATAATATTAAAATCATAAATTTAAATTTAAATATAATAAAACAAAGTAAAATAAAATGTTTGATTATATTTAAATTTAAATTTATTGTTTTTTTTATTCATTTTTGTTTAATGTTATTTTAATTAGTTTTAATTAATTTTTTTTTAAGTTTTTTTACTATTATATATTTTATGTTATTTCATGCGGTAGTCGGTAAGTTCGCGTTCAAATCCTGGTAGTTATAGAAAATTAATATAAATAAAAAAATTAGTTAAATTTTCTAATGGCGGTCGTCGCTCGACTGGGAATGTCAACCTCTTTGAGTGTATTTCTGACATGAAATAAAAATCCTCATAAAACCTCCAAGCCGTTCGGAGGCGGCTTAGGAGGAGGAGGGGCTCGGCCGATAATCGCTTCAGCGGTTACAAAGCGCCAAAATATATATATATATATATATATATATATTATATTATTTACTAAATATATTAAATATATATTATTTATTAAATTTTTTTTATGTTATTTTAATTAATTTTTATTTATTTTTTTAATCAGTTTTAGTTAATAATTTTTTTGTTATTTTATTCTCTGTGATTTCAGTTTACTTTATTTTTTTTTTTAGCTTTTTCTAATTTTTTTTTTTTAAATTTCATTTGAGTTTGTTTTACATATATGTGAACTTTTTTGCTTCACTTCATTTTTTGTTTTATTATATTTAAATTTATTATTTTATTTAAAAAATTTTATTTTATGCTTTTTAACTTTGTTTTATTCTATTTGATTTTAGTTTGTTTATTCCTTTTAATTTTTTTTAATTTAATTTTAATTATTTTATCTTTTGTTTTTATTTTATTAATTTTTTTATTTCATGCTGATTTCTTTTATTTTTGTTTATTTATATTTTTATTTTATTTTTGATTCTAAATTAGATATTATTTAATCTAATTTGTTAAAATACCTCAAGTTGTTTTATTTATTTTAATTATTTTCTGTATAAATTTTCGTATTTTTTTTTTGCTGCTATTTTTTTACTGTATCCGAATAAGAAATCATAATTTTTGTAATTATATAATCACAGTTACTGGAGCTAGTTTCTTTGTCCTAAATGAGTCTCTAAAAACTACCAGTGGTCTGTCTGGCAAGTGTAGCATTGTCGAAGATGGCTTGATGGTGCAAATTTTGCCGAGCAAAATGGAAGAAATACGAAATTCTTTACAAAATCAAAAAGATGTCGAAATAGTTTGCGGTCCTGTGGATGCCGATGATCAGCAAACCGAGGTTGTGAGCATTAAATGGGTGGAGAACGATAGTGATTTTAATGTTGGGTAAGTTTAACAAAAATTTGTGGTCAACAAATATACATATTTACATATGTACTCATAATTGTTATAAATAAATTTTCTCTTTTTTTCATAGCGTTAAATCACCAATCGATGAAAAATCCATGGAAGGCATATCTAGCATGCGTGTGCACGATAGTTATAACTATTCGAATGCTAACTACGCTATAAGACTAACAGATATTTATATAATTAAAGTAAGTTGTATAATTTTTCATATAATATAGACTAATTTTCTATTTTAATAATTCTCAAACAGTATGACGAATGGTATGCTGCTTCACAGTCCGCCCTGGCGTCCACTTCTATGGAAATCACACGTATGGCTGGACAAATTGCGCGAAGCGCATGTGGCGCTCTTGTGCCCTTTCTGGATCTGCTTGTAGCAAGTGGTAGCCGGAAATTGGCTTTACGTGCAACACTTCATCAGGAGAATGTAAGTTTTTACAGAAAAAAAAACTAATTACTTATTTATATTGTTTGAACGACTTTCCCAATTGCAGGTTTGCTATGAGGCCGGAACACGTGGAAATAAGCTTCCTCCGCTTTATATGAACGCTTTGGATGACCATTTAATACCAACACTGCACAGCGAGTCGTCGGGTATTGAGGATGCAATAATTTTAGAATTAGTTTTTTACATTTTAAATGTTTAGTCTATTCTAAAAAACTATTTTAAGTGGTTTTTCAATGAAATGAGTCAGTATTGCGAATGGTTGGACACAGTGGAACAACTATGACTTCCATCTGTTATGTTAGAAAAGCTTGGTGGAAGTATAATAAATAGTTAGTTGGATTTGTAGAACAAAATAACATTATTATGATGCTGTCAAGCTGGCTTAGCTATAAATAAAAGGAATGTTTGGCTAAACAATTGGTAACTAATATATAAATATTGGCAATATTACGAATAGAGAAAATATCAACTATCAAATAGCACCCAAATTGATTTTGGAGTGGATTTTAGTATATGTTTTGTTCTCTTTTACATGTAAGATTGCTTTAAAAGCTTTCATTTATGGGGTAATGAAAGTCATGTTATGCGTAGTTGAAGTGGTTATAATTATGTTGTATGCAACTAGTAAACCGATATACATATAGCTAACAAAATGTATTTTTTTTTTTTAATTTTACTTTGATTTCGACATTTCTCTTCAACAATAAAGTACCTACTTATTAGCAATTACATATACATATATACAAATTATGATGTAATAAAATAGTGTAAAGGTCAAATGTGTGTTTTTTATTTGTATATATAACAATATAAATCGGAAATGGAATAAAAATTTACTTGTTTCAGGATTTTATTATCATATCTTGTTTCAAGAAAGGTTAAGAGATTTAAAGCAGCAGGTGATTTCTAATCATAATGTTGCTTCGTTTGCTAAAAATTTTGATATACTATGACTCGGTTGTTGTTGTTGTAGCGGTTCGCTAGCCCCGCTTAGGGACAGATGTGATTAATCTAAGTCGCCGATGTCATCCAATGGAAGGTCCAGGAAACAAGCTGTTTCGAAGGGGTTGTACGAAAGGGATAGGGGGTGGTTAGATGAGTCTGTCAGAGTGGGCATGTGTAGAGGTGTGCAAACGTAGAAGACGATGATTATTGCCGTTTTTGATAGCCGTGGAATCGTTCCACCAGGGCAATCCGTAAATCATCACGGCAACGCGCTGTGCCACAGTGAGTCCTAGTATTTGGCTTCTAAAGGGATCGCCGTGTTGCAACAACCGCTTTATTCGTCCGATATGTTACACTGCGACTTTTTTTGATCCCTAGCACAAAATCGGTGATCAAAGAACTCATTTTGAGTCGATTGAGGATATGAAGGCGGCCGGGACGAGAATACTCGCGGACATCCCAGTCGAAGCGTTACAGAAATGTTACGAAGCATGGCAAACGCGCTGGAGCCGTTGTATAGCTGTCCAAAGGGACTTCTTTGAAGGGATGGCAGTGTTGTAGAATAATTATGAAATATACGATTTTTATGGAGTCAGTCTCATTACTTAAATGTCACACCTCGTATTTTTTAAATGTTTTTTTTTTAAGTTATATATATATTTTAAATACTTTTTTTGAGGTTATATATATTTTTTGCAATTTTTTTTTGAGGTTATATGTATTTTTTACAATTTTTTTATGTTGTATATATTTCTTTTTGAGGTTATATATATTTTTTTTGAAGCTATATATATTTTTTTTGAAGCTGTATATATTTTATTGAGGTAATATATTTTCCTTAATGTTTTTTTTTTGAAATTTTTTTTTTAATTTTTTTTTTTAATTACTTTTTATTATTTTTTTATTTTTTTTTATTTTTTTTATTTTTTTTATTTTTTTTATTTTTTTTTATTTTATTTTTTATTTGTTTTTAGATTTTATATATTTTTAATTTTTTTTTTGAGGTTCTAAATATATGTATATTTTTTTAAAAGCGAATATATGTGTGTATACTTATTTTAAAGGATATAAATGGATATATACAATATATTTGTGTGGAAATGTATGCGTATATATCTTAACATTTATAAATATAATATATATAGTATTTATATATACACCTCTGCAGAAATGTGTTTGTAAAACTAAATATATAATTTTTGTGGTTATAAATAAATTTTTCTAGTTACATATATTTTTTTGGGAGGTCGGGCAAACTTTTTGTAAATAAAACAAATTAATTTTCAACTAAACTCTTTATTTCGCATTTTCTTCCATCCATTAAGTTATTTTTCATACAAAATGCTTACATTAATTATACATACAATTAAATTACCACCAAAAAGTATTGAGCGTACGTCTGCACAATATAAATTACAATGTTAACAACTAACTCAAAGTGTTATGATTGCTAAAAAAATACAAAAGTATATAAAATATTTAATTTAAAACGTTAATCGCATTCTTGACTATAAAATGGGAATAATGATGTTTGTAGACCTTTATGGTCAATTTGAAGAAGTTATTGACTGAGTGGAAAGATGAGTAAAACTAAATGCTTAAGTCGAATAAAGAATAAGCAGCTTTAAGTTCACTAACAGCTTTTTATATTGGTGTAATTTTGTTAAATTTTCTTTACCCTTCTTTGTAAAAAAAAGTATTTTTTATTTGCGTATATATGCATGTATGTATATGTGTCATCATTTCCTACAATGTACTATAGCGACCATTTTTAAATTTATTTAAGTATGTATTTATGTATAATATGTATTATGAACATGTGTGGTTGTTTATTGCGTTTTCTATGTGTGAGTCTTTGTTGTAATGAGTTTCTTTTATTCTCATTACAGCAACGCTTTTAACATAACTAATATTATACAAGTTTAGATTTGATAGCTCAGCTATCACTGTTCCTCGACGCACTTTTATTATGACTTAGAGTTCATCGTGTTTCGGACCAGAGAATTCATCGTGTGAGATGAAACCGTTCTTATCCTTGTCCTCATGCTGGAAAATCTCCTCAACAAGTTTGTCATTCTCCTTAAGCATATTTTTCACTTCGTCAGAATCCTGACCTTCGACGGCGGTCATTTGTTTCTTCAGGTATTCGCTGACCTGTGAGATGGAGTGGGAGAAAAGGTATTAGATAAGACCTCTGTGATAAACATACATGTACATATATTTAAAAATAGAAAAATATGTGCAAATTATATATGTATGTCGTAAGCATATGCATGCATATAGGGAAACCTGTTAGTACACTTTACAGTTTGGAGGAAATGCATAAATAAATATGCACATATAGACATGCAAGAAGGTATAAATATTTCAGGAGAGGAGAAATTGCTTCTAAATAAAATTGAAACGAATAAAAGAATAATTAAACTAAAATACTAAAATATGATTGACACTTTACAAACGCTGAAGTGATTTTCAGCCCAGGCCCTCCTCCAAAATAAAGGGATCTACTCTTTACCCTCTGCCGTTCCTGCATGGCCGATGGATTTTTATGAGAAGGGCGACCCCCATCAAGAAACGCACCACTCGGCAATTGTGGTCGGAAATTAATTAAAAATAATAATAAAATCAAATAAAATAATAATAAAATCACATAAAATAAAATAAAATCAAATACTAGTGTGACCTATAGATCGTAGAGACCGTAGACTTGAAGAGTGAGTTTCGGTAAGAAATTGGCTTCCGTGACGATAATTTGGAACCGATCAATTTTTAAAGTATTAAATCGTTCTATTTATAATTATTAATTAAATTTTTCTTCCGGGAAATGAGTCTGAGCTCAAAAAAAATTTCTAGTTCGATTTACATGAAATTCGATACTTAGGCAGCTTCCTGATTAAATTACCATTTGGAACACTTCAAAGATTTCCTGTTTTGACTCGATATGCCTGATGTTTGTATAGCTCATTATATAGGTTAATTTATTTCTTTCTCTTCGGGAAGGGATCTTTAAAAAAAACGAGGATAATTCGATTCGGCTGGAATATTGCATCTTTGATTTTCTCGCCAAGAAATGGAGCTGAGAATGATTTTTCCGAAAAACGAATAAACTCAAAGAACCAATTAAATATCTGTTTAGGACCATTTTGAACCTCCGTGCGGGCGCAGTCGGAGGACAAAAATCGGTATAAATTAAGCAATATTTGGCCCGAATTACTGACCATGTTCTCCGAATGACGTAGTCATCCGATAAAAATGGATTTTCTTGGAAGTCCCAGGTCCACTATTTGAAAAAATCCTACTTTTTGATCGATTTGCAAGAAACTTAGAACTTTTCTTGCTAAGGTTAGTACGAGGTTAATATTCCTTTGCAGGAAGTGGACACGGGACCGCTTCTTTTGAAGAATCGTACTTATGGTTCGATGTGCTTGACATTTGGATACAAAAGTTTTTTTTGAGAGATTTTAAAAAAAAATTTATACTTTACAATAAAATAAATAACTTAAAAACCATTTAAAAATCGTATTAGAACCATTTCGAAAACCACTGCATTTTAAATTAATTAAACTTAAAAATTAATCTAAAGGAAAATAAATAAAATTATGTAAAGTAAATTAAAAATTAAAATAAATTGAAATAAAATAAAATTAAAATAAATTCAAATAAAAAACATAAACCAACTGAAAAAATATACAACAAAAAGTATAAAAATATATAAAGTAGAACAGAAAAAAATATAATAAAATTAAATTAAAAAGTATACACTAAAAAGGAATTGAAAAAATTACCAAAAATAATATGAAAAATAAATTAAAAAATATATATATATAAAAAATTTTTGAATTAAAAAAAATAAATAAAAAAAAAATTTATTTTTAATTTTTTTTTAATTGAATTTAATATATATTGAAATGAAATTAAAAAATTTAAAAAAATTAAATCAAATAATACAAAGTCAAAATAGTTCCAAAAATTAAACAAAATAAAATTAAGTTGAATGGGATAATAAAATAAAATAAATTTACTCGAAAATTGTCATGCGATGTTTATAACACTATATACAATAATATAAATAGAAAAAAATGTAGAACGTGCATTAAGAACTTATTTATTTAAGTATCAACACCACCAACACCATATCCTTACAACAGGATAAAGTCTTAACGTAAATAGTTACGTGGTGAAGAAAGTGCGATCCATACATAAACGTTTACCTCATCACGGCTCAGTTGCTTGTCGCCGTTCTCATCGATTTCCTTGAAGACATTGGTTGGTGGTGGAGTATTACCAATATTGATCAATTCAACTTCGAAGAATAGTGTAGCTTTTGGTGGAATGACATTGCCAGCACCGCGATCACCATAACCCAACTCTGGAGGAATGACCAATTTACGTTTTTCACCTGTGTAAAGGAAATTGAATTAGTAGGATAATAACATTTAGTAGTAAGAAAGAATTTTATTTATTTATTGAAAATATATTCGCTTTAATTTTATTTATTTGTATTTTATTATTTTACTTACCGACACACATGTCGAGCAAACCTTGGTCCCAGCCCTTTATCACTTGGCCAGCACCAATTTGGAATGTGAAAGGTTGATCGCGATCAAAACTGTAAGGAAAGAAGAAAAGAAATATTATGTTTTGATTGAAATAAATTTAAAAATTAAAAAAAAAAAAATATTTATAATAAGAAAGAATTTAGAGAGAATTTTTTATACATATGTATGTTTTATTTTCATGCTTAACTGTGTATATATATGTGGTTAGCATTACGTACTGACATTCCAAAGGCTCGGGTTCAAGCTCCGGTGCCACCAACATCAAAAAGTTGTGGAAAATTAAGTTAAATAAAAAATTAAGTTACATTTTCCAATTGCCGTCACCCCTCGACAGGGAATGTCCACACCTACGAGTATATTTCGGACAAGAAATAAAGGCTCCTCGTAAAAAACCATAAGCCGTTCGGAGGCGGCTTAGTATGAACTGTACGTCTCTCCATTTGTTGGAAAAACATCAAGACGCAAAACTCCAAAATGGAGGAGGAGCTCGGCCGAAAAATTGCTTTAGCGGCAACAAAGCGCTAATTATATACATAACTATATATATATATCATATAAATTATATTATATGTTTTATATATATAAACATACCACCACCATAAAACAATTCATCATCTACCATAACCTAAAATTTACGATGTGAGAAAATATTAATGACAGTGAGTGGATTTGTACCTCAGCTTAGAGCTTTCCAATTGCATGGGATGGGGAGAAAACCACTTTAAAGCATTAAATCTACGAATTCCCACCTTCTTGAAACCGAAGATAAATAAAATTGCCATTTGTTCGTTGCCAAGTTAGCGACACCATCAGTCGGCAGTCAAGGCAATATTATCAGTGAAGGTGCATATTTGATAATAATTGAGTGCGATACACTCCATCAAATAGCGATATAAACGGGATAACAACAAAATAGCAAAACAAAAAGTGCGGTGACAACTACACACACCCACAAACTGTTGTGGCCTGGATAAGGCATGGCGCTAATAAAAAATTGAAGAGAAATGCGCGACAGGGAACAACACGAAACCATCGTTCAAAACGACAGTCTCAAGCGGAGAGTCATCAAATTGGTGTTCCTGTGAAAGGCAATAGAATGTGTGTGTGTGTGTGTAGCTTCTTAAGAATTTATGAAAAACAAGCGTTATTACGGCACCACTGCGAGATAAGAAGCCACGATCTGGAAGTTGATGAGTTTGCGGTAAAGCTAAAGTTGATAAAATTTTATAAATTTGCTTTTTATTTAAATGAAAATTTGCAAATTTCGTACAAGATTTTCAGATTTTCGGAGTTGGGAGCTTATTTCTTCAAAAACAAAAAACAAGTGGTCCGGTTCTAAATAAGAGCATCATTCTAGAGAGCATTTTAAAATACATATATAAGTTTTTGAAATTATATGTTGAGAGGCGGGGTGCAAGTTGTGGGCGATCTAGCAAGCGATTACCTATTTTATTGGAAAGGTTCCACTTCTGTGAAAAATAATTGGGTGGCATTAGCTTCGGTTTATGACAACAACATTTTTTTTTGCTCTTCAAAAAGTCCAGATTTGTGTTAAATAAACAACATTTTCTGGAACTTATGATATTCTATTTTAATTTGAAGCAAAATTAAACCAATGAAATGCTTGTGGAAATTTATAGGGAAGTCAAGCAGAGATTGGTTTTGACGCTTGAAAAGTAGTGATTTGAGTGTCGAAGACAAAGAGCTTCCTGGCCAACTCAAAAAAGTAGTTTGACAATGAGGAATCGGATCAAGATTAGTGCCAAACGCAAACTAAGCCCACAGAATCGTTGGGTAAGAACCAGCAAAAAATTTTCGTTCGGTTAAAGTAATTTGGATTTATGCAATAGGAAAGAAATTTGATGCGAGTTGAAGCCAAAAGATGCCGAAAGGCAATTTTTAATCTCGGAACTGGTTCTTGAAAGACATCAAGGGAAGTTTGCAACGTATCGTGATTGGAGATGAAAAATGGATATAACGTACGCTCCGTGAAAAATAGCTACATGAAAATGCTGATGTGGGAGGTCTTACCCCTCCCGCCTGATTCGGCAGACCTTTCTTCGTTCGACTACTGACTTTTTCGATGGATCAAAACCATTTTGTCGGGTTACCGGTTCGGTTATTTTGACAAAGTTAAAGAATGGCTCAATGATTGGATCGTTATATGTATATACAATAGATGGTATACGAAAATTTGGCTTTGGATTAGCGTATTGCCATTCGGAAGGCCAGGGTTCAAGACAAAAATTATAGAAAATTAATTTAAATAAATAAATTATGCGGTCGTTCGTCGGCAGGGAATATCAAGTTTTTCGAGTGCATTTCTGACATGAAATGAGGACTTCTCATAAAAATCGATTAGCCGTTCTCTCCATTTGTTGGAAATACATCAAGACGCATACCGCAAATTGGATAAGATGCTCGGCCGAAAAGTGCATGAGCGGTATGAGGGTATGTGTGAGTGAAAATGAACAGAGAGATGGATAAAGGTTATCGTATCCGAAGGATAATGCACAAGTTGTAGTACAAGATAGTGGTCTTTTGATAGAAATTTAATTTTTTACTTCAAAAGACCAAACATTTGTCCCCGCATTTCTGTTGGGATTCCTTTCCTTTAAAATATTCATTGAATTTACTAATGTAAAAATGTAAATTTTTTCGATACGTCCCTCGCCTTTTAGTAAAAAGAGCGAAAAAAAAACATTGAACATTTGACAACAGAAAGTTTTCATGTTTCTCAACTCGCCAATTAGAAAATGACATCCACTGCACATGTATTTAGTTTATTAAAATATTATTCAAGTTAAAAACTCCAAAATAAAAAGTAGAAAAAATTGCGGGAAAACGAGAGAACAACAAACAATTTGTTATTTGTAGGAAGTTGATAATAACTAGAAAGGAGACAAATTTAACCCCGCAGCAACTCTCCCACCAGCGACAAAGTTAAGAAAACTTTGCTGAAAATATATAAACTACACCAGCGGGAATGGACCAGAACAAACGACACCTTTGGTGTACGGAAATAAAAATTATCACAAAAATTGTTTTCTTAAAAGAAAGTTGTAATGGGAGAAATATGCATGAAGAGGGACGAAAAGTCATAAAACATATTCCTGTTAGGCATATGAATGGTAAAATATTTTTTTTTTGTGAACTAAACTTAATGCAATTAAACTATTTTATTTAAAATTTTTTCTGTTAACTGCCAAATTCTGTTAACTTTTTAATTTTTCTAATTAAAACTTTGTAGTTTTAAAATATTATTTACAAAGTTTTCTAAAACAATATTCATAAGATTACTTCAATTATAACCCATTTAAGTTTTAAATATTTGAGCAAGGGATTTATTTATAACAAAAAATATTATAATCTTTTTCGTCTAAAAAACATACTATCCATAAATTATTAAAAATTATGATTAGTTTTTGTGAAGAATAGAAAAATTTATATGAGAAAACAAAACTTATTTTATTTAATTTTAAATTAATTTTTTAAACTTTTTTAATGTTTTTTTTTTTGTTATTTAAAGGTTTTATAAAATAGAAATTCCGCAAAAAAGTCACAAAACGCAAAATGGATAATTTAATTTTAGTTTTTCATTTATTTTGATGAAGCTCGCAACCTTATTATGCCTCTCTCTCAGAAACCTTTGGCGAAAAATTGGAATAATAGAGTTTCGCAAACTTCCCTTGAGGCCAATTCTTCCAAATCCAAATCATTCACCATAGACAGCAACAGACGACAATCACTTGGTGCGAAGTCCGGTTGATAAGTTGGTCTCCCAAACAAGCTTTCGCAGCTTCTGGCGTACCACTATCAATGTGTATGGTCTGATATCGTCCTGATACAATTTCTCACTCGATGGCCAGCTTTGTGCGCATGTGGGGGATTGTTTGCTTCAGACGGTTCAATTGTTGACAGTACAGTTCCAAAAGTGTGGCAGTTCTTAGTGGATGACCGCCAAATACATAAAAAAAAAACCTTTCCTTGCCGTCAATTCTGGCTTGGAGACCGTTTGTACCGGCTCACTGCCCTTTGACAAAGACCAATTTCGTTTCACGTTGCTGTGAGACAGTCACGTTTTATTGGCAGTCACCTTCTACTTCAGAAATGGGTCGATCAGCAGCGATTCGTATATAGAAATTCGGTCCATGAGGCTATTTCTCGATAGCATATGCGGCACCCATACATCGAGCTTCTTTGTGTATGTAGCCATTTTTTTTTTAACAGCTGTCTTCAGCTCTAGGGTTATTTCGATATAGTCTTGACGATATCCATTGTATGTATTATCGACTTTTTCGACAATTGGACTTTCATACAGTGAACATTTTTTAACATCAAAATTACTGGAAACCAAAATTGTGCATTACAGACTGTTACATTATCTGAACGATTCTCATTTTCTGCTTGACTTTCTTTTAAAAAAATAACGATTTTTCTATTTTCAGATGTCCACCTTTGACATGCGCTCAAACACTACTGTGTCAAGTGATCAACACTTCTCCTCGTCTTCTTGTTTTTTACAAAATGTAATCTTTCTCAAGACATCTAGCTCAATCCAATCGCACTTATAGAACGTGAGATACAGATTACTAAAGCCAGCTATTACGAAAGTAATGGAATACTTTTTACTAGAGCTAATATTTTATTTTAAATATTTAAAAAAAAAAGAAGTCTTGGTATGATATTTAGCAACATTTTAGTATTTTGTTTGAGTATTGTTTTTTTTTTTTTTTGCAATAACACACACAGTGTGCTTTAAAGCACCGCGCCACATCTACACTACCCGTCACTTGGGACTGTTAAGTCGAATATGATTATTATGTGACGTCCACAGGCGGTGTAACCAACACCACAGTGCTGCTTACTTGGCACTTTGGTCTCAACGTGACCGCGACTGCTACTTGCAGCATAGTGTTGTGCTGTTTCCTTTTTATGCTTTTGACTCTACACTCAATTGCCACTTGTTTTTGCCTCTTACTTTATTTTCTTTCGCTACGGTAGAGTGTTTAAATATTTTATTTGCCTCTCTTGGGCTTTGTAACAATTC